ATGTCAACATGCAAGATAATAAGTTGCATGTCAACATACATATCTCGCATGTTGACATAATTAACTCGTATGTTCACATAATTATCTTGCATGTTGACATAAATAAGTTGCATTTTTACATAATTATCTCGGATGTTAACATAGACACATATTTTTCTTGCAGCTTGCTTGTATGATGTCATATAATGGCGTTAGTAAGTAAGTTAGCCAACATTAAAATTATTTTCTAGAAAGAGACTGGTAACTTGCATGTCAACATAATTATTTTGCATGTTGACATAAATATGTCGCATGTCTACATAATTATGTTGCATGTTAACATGATTTATGTTGCATTTAGGGGGCAAAAATATGCCACCATACTCTAAGCATCGGTCTTAAAATTCAACAATTACAATGTTTAATTCGGAAAGAGAATCATTGAAAATCCTTGGAAAGCAAAGAAATTTTAAGGGTTCTTTTTTGATTTCCTCACTGATGATCCATGAGTGGATGATGGAGCCAGGATTTATTCTGTAGGAGTTAAATAACTTTACTTCCTTTAACTTTGTAATGTGGTTTCAAGTACAATCTGACAATGTTTCTAGTGTTGTGTGAAACTTAGAGTCATTACATGTACATGCAAACTTACCATTTTTAAAAGCAAACTTGGTACATGATTCCATTCTACCTAGGTCTTTTTATAATTTTGATAATATATATAATCTCAATAAGTAAATAAATTAAAAATTCGGTGAAAAGTTGAAGTATCATTTTTCAACTCAACGCTTTTATCTTTTTATAGAAGCGAGTCCCCTCTGAACGAAAAATATCCCAATTATTTTACCAAAGTCTAGTCCTTAAGAATTAACCGTTGTACATTTAGAAGATAAACTATTTATTTGGTTGTTTCAACTAGCCTAAATCTGATGCAAATGGTAGATTGTTTCATATCTTAATCTATGCTGATAAAAACCTGGATTTATTGGCGGTTGCGTTAATGAAAGCATATGGGGAAATGAGAATTTTAAAAAAAATTATTTTGCAAATATATTTCTTTCTACAGTGTTTATAGTTTATATAAGTTCAAAATTTAGGATTTTAAGACTTGTTTGATATAAAGTCTTACTTGTTATCAATATGCTTCAGTTTTTCATCAGTTTTTGAATACCAGCAGGAATCTACTGAAATTATTGTGATGTACAAGGCCGTGCAAAGCCTAATCGTTTACAAACATCACTTGACATGTATAATTATATCATCGACAACGTTTTAAACTTCCTTTAAGGAAACTAAATAACTGGATGAAGTAGACAAGGTAAGACGAGATACAGACTTTTAACTATAATCTTTGTTCTACTGCAAGTTATTGAAAAGTGTAGCTAAAGTATAAAACATGATTGTCCATAACTTTTTCTATTGATAAACGGTTTAAGGGGATTCTAAGTGTCTCAATGGTCTGGAAGGCTACGGAGGTATGCCAGTGCTTTCCATCATTTTAACCGGTGAGAAATCTATTTGATAGATAATTCTGATATTTAACCATATTTTATCCAAGCAACCTAGTATAGGACCAAAAATTGATAATTACTAATTTAAAATTAACCTCCAATGAATAGCAGCGTTTCTCTATATTATCCAAAAACTACATATGTATGCGGTAATGGCGGAAACAGAATGGTAATATAATCTGCACTTTATAACGGTACTTATAATTTATAATACATGGTAGCAATAACGTAGCGTACAGAAACACTTCTGTCCATGCAGTCGGCAGCTAACAGAAAAAGAGTGCGAGGAACTGTACACGTCATAGCAGGTACATGTTCAGTGTTTTATGTATCCAGAGGTCAGGGAAAGATCACTATGTAGGTTAAAATACATGTTCCCATAGGTTTAGGAACTAAGATGCAAAATCTGTCTAGCCAACAGTTGTACATGGCTCCACATCATTGCGGTAACTCACCTCTTCGAATTTATTACCACTCACATTTACTGGGCTAGAACTCAGGGCATGTTAACTGGGGTACAGACTTAGCAAACGTCACACTGATACCTACACATTCCGGATGAGACCAATCCCGACAACTATCACACTGAACCATTGAACACTTGGGATTTGTTTTTAAGCAAACACTGTATCGTTTTGATTTAGTCCCCCTAGTAGCTTTGGGTCTGTTAGGAGTACTTGGTATCTCGGGCTTACTCAACTCAACTCAACCTTTCCCTAACCCGTTTCCAGGTACCCATGTACGGACCTGTTTGTTCCGCTGGTTTCGGATCTACTCTAGTTCTAGACTTACCCCCCAGATCCCCAGGATTTAACTTTGAACCGTGTCCCTCAGCGGTGTCCCCGGAATAGCTACATCACGGACAGGAAAACTACAAATGTCTCTCGGTCTGCGTTTTTCCCTGACAACATTAAAAATGTGAAAACACTGAATTCTTTGCAAAATAAATATAAATTTACTCTGAATGTTCCATGTAACAAATAAATTCGAGTTTATGATTAGTTTATGAATAACGAAGTACAAGAAGCTATGAAATAAATGTTAACACATGCATTTTCTTCCTCTTTGGGGAATCCCATGACCTTATTTATATCCTGTATTTATTTCCTGAATTACTGTGGAATCATCATTGTTCGTGGGGGACCAATGTTCGTGGATTTCGTGGGTCACCCTTACCCACGAATTTACATTCCAACGAACGTTTATTTTATTGACATATTGATTCATTAAACCATCGTATAAACGAGAAATCCACGAAATTACGTCCTCATGAACAAGTTAAATCTTGCTTGTCCACGAACATTGACCCCCACGAATTAAAATGATTCCACAGTACCTAAAAAAATAATAATACCCAACTATGGTAATCGCATTTTAGATTCAGATACAATTTTTGAACATATATCGAAGATTTCATAAAAAAGTTCTTAGGTTAAGTTGTTAACCCGCAACCAGAGTTATCGTTCTTAATAACGTTTTTAAAACTTCCTTTTCCACCACATTTTTCAAAATCTAAGTGCTAGGATAAGGTAACCAAGGTAAGGCACTTGTGATAAAGCCTGTATTCATAATTCTGAAATTATTATCATAGACAACTTTAACAGACAAAGCTTTAAGTCGCTGGAAGAGAATGGGGGAGGGACGTGATTAAACTTTGATGGCATTGCCTTTTCTTTAAATGAGAAAATTTTTCTTCAATAATTAAAATGAAATTATACATAATTTCAGATAAATATATTATGCATATGTGGTTGAAGAAAATATGGTCAGTGTATTTTAAAAATCATTTCCGCAAAACAATAATAATAAATTTCAAAAATACTTCGATATAATTACACTTGATGTTGATTAACAAACATATGAGGTTCTATTATCAGTTTTTAATTGAAAAATCTAAGGTGACAGGACGAAGAATAAGTGAAACTTCCTAAGAAACCATGCAAGCTTTTGTTTAGCAAAACACTTGTTTTTAAGTGATATGGTCTCAAACGCTTCGAGATATATTACATTAGATTTGATAGGGATGTCAATTTTGTCAATAATTCATATTCGAATATTCAATGAAAAGTATTCGAATATATTCGAATATTCGATAAAATAAAATCTGTTTTATTTTAAATATGCACCATCCTACTCTCACGAAAGGTTTAGCGTAGGTATACTTATATTGGAAGTAAATTGTATGAAGACTTTTGCAGTTGTACAATAAGAAATTCCATTCGATATATAATTTTATAATTTTAACAAATGAAACATATCTATTTATAGTAGCTCCAACTGAGGAACCAGTCGTCTTGCCACAGGAAAAGATATAGTCTTAACAGTATACTGTTCAGATTTCAATACGTGTAATAAATTACAATTATCTGCCTAATAAGAGATATGATAATAATCTTTGATTCAATGTTTTTAATATATAAACAAATATTTCCATAGACAATTTTCCTAGGTAATTAATTAATTTCCCGATAATGAATATAAAAATTCAGGATTATATACAACCCAAGATATCATCATTTATTCTGAAATTGAGGCCTTTACAAAATTAATTACAGTGGACATTCATTTGAATGATCAATTAAATTTGTTTTGATAAGTATACTCTTCACGTCTTTTAGACATTCAAGAAGGTTTTCATTTTGTTGTCCTCGATTCTAGACCCGATCGTATTTAACTAATAAAAACTATGAAAGTACGTTTTGTATTATAGATAAAGCATTATTGTACAATTCTTTAACACCTTACTCAGAGCAAAATCCATGTAATTTAGTAATTCTATAAGATGAGAAAGTAGTGAAAGAAATCAGGCGATCGAAATTGATCGTTAGTAAATTAAAGAGGGATAATTCCAGCACTGTTCTAATCAAAATTTATTAATCACAGTACTTCATTTTATGAAATCTGAAAAACACCGAATATTCGAATCTTAAATTCACATTCGAATATCAATTCATCGAATGAATATTCGAATGTTCGAATATTCGTTGCCATCCCTAGATGTTGATTAACAAAAGTATGAGGTTCTATTATAATTATCAGGTTATTCATTGAAAAATCTAAGGTGACACGACGAAGAATAGGCGAAACTTCCTAAACAACCATGCAAGCTTTTGTTAATAAAAAAACAACTTGTTTTTAAGTTATATGGTCCCAAAAGTTAATTTTATTTTAAATATTTGATAGGGAAGTTTTTGCTTCTTATTTCACGTTTGTTCTGTATAGAGTTTTAATGGAATGAAATCCTTACGTGGGAATAATGTCGCTCTTGGCGTTTAGAGTGAATGTTATACAATTTTCTTAAAGAGCATTTGTCCTTCTACATATTTGCGAGATATCTAAACCATGTGTATGAGCAGTGATTTTATTGCTCACATTGAAAATCAATCATCATCACTGAAAATATTCTCTTAATAACTGTACTTGTAATACTAGTATTCACATTGATGATCAAAACAAAGAGGAAAAGTGTATGTATAGAAATTCACATATTATTTTCAGGTGCCAGTCAAAATGGCTGAGGGTGGAATAGGTTTATCCGCAGTTTTGTGTGACCTCTGTGAAAATGAACCAGCACAATCCTTCTGTCGTACATGCAGTGGAAATTTGTGCGACAAATGTACAACCGAACACAAAAGCAAAAAAATTTTTTACCGACATGATGTTGTCAAAATGACGCTGACAAGAGAAATGGAAAAAGATGGATATGGATATTGTAGAGAGCATCCAGAGAGCAAATATGAATTGTGTTGTAGAGACTGCACAGTGCCAGTGTGTACAAAATGCATAGCCGGACTTCACAATGGCCACAAAATGCATGATATTTCCAGTGCTTACATCGAAGCTAAAAGCAAAATAACATCAAAAGTTACCGAAATCGAAACAACTCAGTATCCAGAACACAGGAAACATTTAGACGATTTAGACATTGTTCTGAATGACATCAACCGGAAAACAAACGACATGGAGCAGACTGTTTTTAGCCGATCAAAAGAATTGACAGACTTTATTCATGCAATTGAAAAAGACATTTTACAGAAGATATCAAAAGAGAAGGAAGATCTACTCAAAGCAATCATAAGTTATAAGGAAGAAGCCACGGAAGGGCTCTCTACAATACGAAGCCTGCGGAGTACATTGATACAGGAAAGAGATTCCGAAAGTATGACGGACCTAATTTTGTACACTAGACACAATTTAGAAATCCATAAAGGAAATAAAGAATGTCTTACATTTAATTTTCAACCAGCATATATAGCTGTTATGAAGAGCTTTCCCGACGAATTAAGAGATTTGTTTGGTTTGTACTTTCCTTCAACGCTAGTAGTTAAGGGTAGAAAACAAATCATGAAGACGGCAATAGAAGTGAAGAGATTTAAATCTGCGATAAACCAACCGGTTGGTTTAGTTTGTTCTCGCTTGAATGTTGATCTTGCTTGGATTCGTGGAAGCGAAGCAAAAATAAAGAAAATAGACATACAAGGTAATGAACTGGCGACTGTCACGACTCTCACCAAACTGGGGCGACCATCGGGTCTAATCGAGCTAGACGACGGAAGTATATTTTTCAGTGATATCGATAATAAACAGGTGAAAAAGTTATCCAAAGACTTGCAAGAAGAAGCAGATCTAAAATTTGACTGGTATCCGATGGGACTGTGCATCAGTGCAAGCGGTCATATCCTTGTCTGCACTGCTTTTCTACCATGGGAGGCCTCATGTAAAGGTACATGTGCGTCTGATTTTGGGAAAATTTTGAGAATGAGCTACAAAGGAGTTATACTGCAGAAAATAGAAAAAGATGATGAAGAAAAATACTTGTATAGCAGACCAATTTGTATTTCCGAAAATATCAACCAAGATATTTGTGTATCAGACGTCTTTAGACATTCCATAATCGTTGTTGACAGAAGTGGTTTCTTCCGATTTGCCTACAGTGGTGGGGGTATTCATGAGAGTAGAGAAGACTTTTGTCCTACCGAACTAGATACCGACAGTATGGGAAATATCGCTGTTTCGGATAATGGAAACAATTTGGTGCATTTACTGGACATTGATGGTAATCTTGTAAAATATTTGCTAACCTCAAGTGACGGTATTTCTGAGCCGAGGGGTTTAAAAGTCGACAGTGAAGATAGACTTTGGTTAACAGAAGTGAGAACTGGATACGTGAAAATATTCAAGTATTTGGATTAGCTTAATTTTTTTATACACAAAAATTATTAGAATACGATTGTTTGAAAGGCTAAAAAATGTACAATACGAATTGCCCAACAATTAATGAGTTAAAGCATCACTGAATTTTTTTAGCAAAGTAAATTGATTTATAATGGTAGAAGGTATGGATTTAGTATTATAAAAAAGAATGAATATCGTTTGAAAAATTACATTTGTATTATTTAAACCTCTGTCACACCGGGACTGCGTCCTCACGGCGTCCATGAAAAATGCAAAACGCCGAGGTGAGCGCAGTAGAGTCTCCTACAGCGCCGTGACAACGCGGCGAGATCTTCACTGAACGCGGTAGGGTCGCGTAGGGTTTCCTAGAACGCCAGGGGACGGCGCGCACTTTGGGCATGCACAAAGTACGCGCCGTGTGATCGCCGTCTGATAAGAACGCAGTAGGATCGTAGTATGATCGCCGTAGCAGCTCGGTAAGATCTCCAACAGCGCAGTGGGAGCTCCGTACGCACGCCGTGAAGACGCACATGATCGCAGCATGAACGCAGTGATAATAGACTGCCTTTCCACTGGGACCTCGCGGAGTCCTTGGAGATATCACGGCATTCTATCGCGCTTTTACGGCGCTTCTAATGAGATTAATTGTCTTGTGATTTTTTGACTGCGATTACACAGCGACAACAAGGAGTTGTCACTGCGATCATTGCACTCCCTTGGCGTTTCTACCGCTTACGTTGGCGATCACAATGCGCTTTCGTGGCGTTGTTAGAGCGTTGTCTGCCAGCTCACAAAATAAGAGCAATGGCCTCATATTTGATCAGCAATAATTCTAACGTATTTGTTGCACTCCTGGCCAGGAGTATGGGAGTAGAATTGGGAAGTAAAAGTTACACCAGAACCTGTTCTGTTGTTTCAGTGAAGTTACGATGGAATTACTTAAATTTTATAACAACTTTTTAGTGTGTTTATTTTTTACATTCATAATAAAATCAAAGAAAAAACACATCTGAATTGATATAATTGAAAAAAGAAGGGTTTTAATCATAAAACTAACAGTAATTTAGTACTAAATTAATCAAATATATCATTTTTGAAGTCTTTTCGTTATGTGACTCGAATCTTTAAAAAAAAAATGTGTTACACTCCTTCTGAATATATATCCATAGTGGAGAACACATCGTGGACGTATTGTGAACGCAGCAAGCGCAGTGAGAACGCCGTAAAAGCTCCGCGGAAGCGCAGTCAATCGCGAAGATATCTCCGTTGGGAACGCAGTAGCACGCCGCGAGAACGCCGTAGAAACGCGTGGGTCGCCCTAGGGACGCCCTGACATCTTCACATTGTAAATATTTTACAGAAATTTGTGCGATTTCCCTGCGATTCCACTGCGATTTTAACATTTTTACAACGCCGTAATGACTCCGTGTGGACGCAGCTTGGTGTGACAGGGGCCTTATCACACCATAAATAAAATGCCCGTGTGCAAGGTTTATTTGTATGGGAGCCAGACTCTTCAATCTTGCTGTTCATATATTATTACAAATACTTATTAACCATATGTCACCCAAGTTAAAATATTACATTTGTTATAGAATTACGTTTTTCGCGATAAAAATAATCCAAACTCGAACAAAATCAGATTTCTTTTTTTGAACAATACATCTTTACTCTAAAGATGCAATCAATTGAAAACTAGCTGATTATAATTATTTGGTTCAAGGATTCCTTTGGATTTTTTTGTCGTTTCTCTCACACATGGGACAAAATTATATTACAGCTTATCCTACTTTATTGTGATATTACACCAACTGTTGGCAACACCATTGTTCCAATGATACTTTATAACGCTGAGAGGCTTTTATTATACACAGACTAAGCGTCTTGTCTGAAATGAAATAAATTCCCCTTGTGAGAGTAGGTACGTTTAGTCTTTGGATGTTGCTTAACACAGTCAAAACTTCATCGTAAAATACACGTTCGTTGGAAGCCGTCCATTTGTAAATAGTCTATGTTGAGATTTTATAGATTGCTTTTATAAGGCAAAAAATGATAACGGTATTATTTTTCTTTATTGAATTTGCATATCTTGGATATTTCTCAATGTAAGTATTTTTTAACGTCTTTCAAACATCACTTAATGAGGATTGGAGGAACAATATTTCGCCTTTTGCATAATTGATTTGTTTATGTTTAAGATAAAGCGTATCTTTATATTCAATAAATTATCTAACTCAGTTTTAAAAAGATATCCAAAATGATCTTTAAAAATGTTGGATATATCTTCTTTATAAATTAGAACAGATAAAGAAAAAGAATATTATTTTAATCTATGATATCATGAAACTATTTTGCACCATTTACTTGGAAATACAAAGAAAATTGCAAACAAAACTTGAAAAGCACAAAGAGAAATATGATGAATATCGTTGCTTACATATAAATTATTCTGAATTTTACGTGACAGATACATGTATTTAAGATTAAATGATAATAAATTGTACCTTTAGTTATATTCTGAATAAATTGTAAAAGTAAATTGTGCGATATTTAAGGTCTTACGCCTGTAATTTTGTACTGAGGAGAGTTTGTATAGTATAAATTTTTTGTCTGGTAATGTTGAAAGAATTGTATATCTGTCCAGATCTGGAGTTTCTCATGGAAACAACGTAGCTGTGTTAAAGATAATTTAAATGATGAAGACAATGTTGAATTTATCAGCCGTATAACGAATAAAAAGTATCTTCTCTGTTTGTAGTTTGATTTCTTTTCAAAAATTATTTTCCATTTGTTCTTAAACTTTAGTTCGATGGAGCATATTCAAGGAGAAATTTGTAGAGAGGGAACGGGTAAGTTGTTGATTTTTTTAACAATATACAGATATGATTTGGAACTCCATTGTACACTGCTGGGAATTAATAGTCAAAAAATAAATGAATATGCAATTCTATGATAAAGATTGGAAAATATTAATATTAATTCAATTGTATGAACTTTTGTGATTAACAAAAATATGAGCATAAATAACAAAAAACGAGTAAAAGATACATTGAAATTTTAATCTTACAAAAATTAGTAAAAATACCAATAATAAAGTATATATATATATATATATATATATATATATATATATATATATATATATATATATATATATATATAATCTTTGGCATTTGAATTTGCGCTTAAATTAAGCTCTGAAAATTCTATGCAACCATAAGAAATGATAACGTTTTAACAAAATTACGATTTTTTAAGAGTTCCTCAGTAACTGCTTAGCAAATATGTGAAGAAAATGTTAAACATTAAAAAACATGAATATTCGGGAGAAAAAAAACTCCAGTATTGATCAATTCAGCGTATGCTTTCTTTATAAGCGTCTTTTAAGAATACTTGAAAATTCAAAAATATGCCGATTAACTGCGTGCACTTAATTAAATGAAATGTGAGGAAATATGAACACTGGTTATGCTAAAAAGCCACAGAGGGGTAAACATCCCCTCTCGATTGGCCACACCCGCTTTGCTCCTTCAGCTTTCCAGTCGTGATCGGGTAAACGGAAAATTCAATTCAGTGTGAAAGTAATGGCCTAACAATTTGTGAGAAAAATATCAGTTGAAGACAGATTGTATTTGCTGAGAAGATCATTGTCTCGACCATAGAAGGGGGATATATTATTTAATTTTTGCTCTATTTTTAGCATCTTTAAATATAACAGTTGGAAAAGAAGTGCGTCAACTTCCTCCAATGATCGGGGGTGGCTTCCATGTTCCTCTATTGGTTATGGACCCACCCCATAGAAAAAAGCGAGAGGTTTCTGATCCTGTAGAACTTCCGCCGAAACTTACATCATGTCGACCAGGCAAGAAATACGATGTCAATATTTCAAAAGTATTTAAAGTAAGTATAATCCTCTCTATGTTTTCTACTTTTTCATTCTACTTTTTGTTAGTTGATACAATTACTGTATACATTGATTTATACCAGTGACTGTATTTTTGGAAATGAAAAAATCAATGATTACAGTGTATTTACATCAACTGAATATTATTTCCCTTATTTCCTATGAAAACCATTGCCGTTTGTCAGTCAGTAATAAACGACACTTAGCAGGATACCTGCATAGATTTCGTGAGCAATGGCTCCTCCATCAATTATGCAAACAATGACATAAACATGAATGATACAATATTTAACATATTTAATTTTACTTAAAATGTTTTATACAGATATAAATGTAAAGAATAAAATGTCTTTCTTTGTTGTTAGTACGAGAATTAACGTCGCAGCTATTGCAGAAAAATTTACATAATACGTATTTTTTCTGCAACAGCTGAGACATTAATTCCCGGACTAACAACCAAAGAAAGCAAGAAAGTATTTTATTGTTTAAATAATTAATATATAATTTAAAACGGTTTCCTCAGCACAATTGGTATTTTTTTAATGCGTTTTATAATTCCAACCAGAATTATTGCATAATGTAGGTTACAAATTTTCTGATCTATTGCACAATCTTTAGTCCAGTCAATTTACCCAAGGTCATACTTATTGCAAGAAAAATTATTTTGTCGTAAAGTAAATCTTATATGTACAAATTATTTGCAGTTAAAAGTCTAATAAAATCTGATAAGAGGTAAATCATAATTTTGGCATGATTTAATTAACTATGGAAATTACTATAGAAAAGGGGCATAACTCTGCAAATCCATCAAATATTTTGCTGAAGTAATTTAAAAGAATTCTGTTTTCATGAAAGAGTAGTCTGATTGAAACTTTTCTGATACAGTTTGATAGATCATTATTTCACATACATAGTATAAATTTCAAATTAATATTTTGATTTTAATTCCATACTTTTTCATAATTTGGAAATATTAGCAATTTTTTAAGATAGTGAAGGCAGACTTTTAAAAAAAAGATAAAAAAAATTCCTTTTTTTTGAGATTTAGTATGCATGGATCACTTCATTTAGTTCTTAAATACTAAATTTGATTAAAAAGAACACACCCAAAAAGATTTAAAGACAAAAATTGACCTATGTTTTGATAACCTCTGCCCTAATTTTTTTTTTTATTATGAGAATTGCAGCAGACTAAAATCCTTTAAAAAAAAAAAAAAAAAAAAAAAAAAAAAAAATTGAATCCCAAATAATGATTTCCCTTCAACCGATTTTGTAAGATTTTCTATTACATTTATTTTGTGCTTTCTAGAGTTTATTTATAATAAAAGAAATTGTGTTACAATCAGTTTGGTGTTTCAGGATTAATTGACTGGACTACTTGGTTGTATAAATAATTTTGACCTTGATCATTAAGCAATCTTAACTTTGGTCAAATAACCGCCATAACAACACAGTAAAGTGCCTTTCTTAAGGATTCTTCCTTCTGATCATGAACAGTAAGTAAGATTCTGTAAGTTAAAAAGTCCTCCAGTTATTGGTCACTTCAAAGTGTTGATGAGCAGACAGACACACGGACATCATGATTATTATAGGGCCCTTTTTTATATCTTAATGCGCGTCTTAAGGGAAGATATGAACTATGTACACATATGTGTATCATCCTATTTATTAAACAAAGTAAGACATTAATATAACTACATGTAATGTCTGATAAAAACGCACAATGCCAAGTTTTAGAATTGCAATGACATGCACGGGTGTTTTAAGTATAAAATCTCCCATACATTTCAGAATGGAACTAATACTGATTTTTCCCAAAAGGCCTTAATCACGGTGATTGACACAAAGGAACTTTTAAAGCCAACCTTGAAATATTTTGTCACGGGTATGAATTTTATGACGTTTATATTTACGAGTTTGTTTTGATTTCGTTAAATCATGATGTATATTTGAAATTTCTTCTAAAAGAGTAGTTTTCATAATATTAACAAAATTTCCCTTTCATTTCCTGTAAATATTTTGAATTTAAATTCATTTTGAATTAAATAAGGTTTTACTTTGCCATTTAATTTAGACAGTTGTAATATAAATGCCTTGCACGTATAATAGATAACTAGTATATCGGGAGTACTATGGCAAGTTTTTTACTTGAACATACTCTGGTAAGTTAAGATATGCAAAATAATTAGACAATTTCTTCATACATATAAGATTTCATGGATATTAATGTAATTGCGTCTGGTCATTTTAGTATCCATGGATCCCGACGGCTGCATATACATAATCAGTGCACGTGAGTGGAAGAATCTGATCGTCTTTCAAAAGCGTTGGCTGAAGAACAATATTTATGCGGACAACTGCAGAGACTTGAACAAGGTAAAAGTATTTGTCATATTTCAGTTTCATTTCGTGAACCATCTATACACGTGGCTTAATCTTCAGTGATCGATCTCGTAGTGTATTCAAAATCACACTGCCCAAGCTAATTAACGTTTCCTACCTCCAACAAAAAGAATTCCGTTAAGTAATTGCGATATCAAGTATTGCACATATTTTAATTCTAAACTAAAGTTTTCTTTTTAAACCTCAAAACATCAATGTTCACCGTTAATGAAGTACACATATATAATACATTAAAAACTACAACAAACAAATAGTTTATTCTCAAAAGTGACTGGAATTAAGCAGCAGGCACAGCCTATTTTATCCCTCTCCCGAATAAAATATGTAATACATGAATAAAGCACTTATCTATAACTAGCAGTGTTTTCAAAGTACATCTACATTTTCAAGTTATATTTATTTTTTTCGGGGGGGGGGGGGAGTAAAATAGGAGTTACTTAGATAATTGATTTTTTACCTGTTTAACACTCTGTAATAATCACACATAAAAGAAGAAAGTTACATAAATGCCTTTTTCCTGAGAGCCAATAATCATCATCAGAATTCAAACATCATTCATTGATTAAAAGTTTGTTGTTTTCTGTTTTTGCAGTGCCTCACCGATAACAACATCCCCGACGAATCCGATCCCACTTTTGGGTGTTACGACAAATTTTCATTTTGTTCCTCAAGTGACAGAAGGCTTAGAGGACGAAAGGGCGAGTTAGCCAGGTGTATTAATAGGAATAAACTGTGAATTAATGCAACATTGCCTTAATAAAAGTAAAATCAGAGTATACCACACATACAAGTACTTTTCTTTCTGAATGTTTCTCTTGCTTATAAATGAATTTGTAATCGTGTCTTCTAAAATTTAGTACATTGTAATTGAATGATCAATTATTTCATTACATTAGAATGGTTTTTCTTGGGACCAATTTTCGAGGATTTTTAAAAATCTACAGCTTTATAGAGGGGTTATGTTGTAAATGAGCGGTTTATTGCAAAAGATATATATAATAAAAATGGTTTTGAATTTTTTTACGGTCTACACTTGTTGTCCCGGTATTTCAGTTCTTGTGTCCTTGCAATATGTACAGTACATTATGCAATGCTCAGATCCCTGAGAAACAGTACAAGTCCATTCGACCTGATAAAGGTTAAGGAGTCTTAACTTCGTCAGTTTGTCCGACAGTTTTACCATTTTTGTGTCACCTGTAGAGCAGAGCTACACTTAGGGATTATACTTTACCCGCCGTCTGACTGTCTGTCTGTCTGACCGTCAGTCACAGGTTATATCTTGAAAACTGAACTGTCACCCTTGAACTTGACCTTTGACCTACGTTTTTAAAATAGGTAATAGTGCAAATATACAGCTTATTTTTGACATTTAAGAGATAAATCTATGCTAATTAGTATGTGAACTGTTTGTCATAAAACATATTAGAAAAAACTGCAATATAGTCCACTTTACCTATTACCAACTTTGCAAAATAAAAAAAAAAAAAAAAAAAAAAAAAAAAAAATTCCAGACGGCTTGATTTCACTTATGTCTTTTGAATTTTGAGAGACAGGATTTTGATAATTAGCATTTACAAATGTTTGTAAGCTCATAAAACTGTATTTCGTAACTTTTTGGTATACAGTTACCACACAAACTGAAATTAAAATAGTAAGAAAAAATTTCAGGATCAGAAACAAAATGGATTTTGTAGTCTTACAATTGCAGTAAAGACAGACTGAAATCTCTTTTGGGGAATTGGTGGAAACACGTATTAATACAATGATAAATATTTTTTTTCCTAATAATTTCAATTTCATTACTCATATTAGCTCTTAGGGTTCGAGAAGCATCAATTTAGTAGATTGACAGATTTTATCGCGGTCTTACTATCATGAATGTTAAAGTTCTTTTTCCTTTAAAGGCAAATGCATGAACTACATGTAAAATGCTAGTTACAAATACGTAGCTCACCAGTCTTAGATTTATTTTCATCTTTAATGAAGTTATAAATCAGACAACACATGCGTTCCTTGGAACACTCTATTTTAATGAACACGTATAGCAAGGACCAAAAAAATGTCTATAAAGAGGAAGATCGTAAAATTGTGTCATTTCATCTTCATGTTTTCCTCTTTTATCAGTACTCCTGATGGACCTGGACTAATCAACAATTTACTAATATTGAGAGAGAGAGAGAGAGAGAGAGAGAGAGAGAGAGTTATACATTCCAATGCAAAGATGTTTTAATTTTATTTTGTCTACTCGTGATGCGCAGATAAAAATGACATCCATCATTAATATACGAAGACACAAAAAGTTCATGTATTTACATATCACAGGTGAAATAAAACAAATTCCTTCAGTATTCCAATTACAAGCCATCGAAACAGATGAGAATGAAAGAAACAAATTTAGTATCCTTCAGCTTACGTGATGTGATATTTAGTGATCAAATTATTTTAAAGAAACAATAAATACATGCGTTTCATTTTCAAGCAGCTTTTATTGCTGTTATGAAGCCATTTCCTGACTAAGTTAGAAACCCGTTTGGCTAGTAAACGAATCATGAAGACTGCTAAAAAGGTAACCGGATTGCGATAAAAGAACCAGTTTTGTTCTCGTTCGAATGTTGATCTTTCATGGATTCGTTTACTAGACACTGGAATGAAGAAAATAGATGTAGAAGGCAATGAACTGTCACTACTCTCACTAAACTTGGGCGGCCCACGGGTCTGATGGAGTTGGATGACGGAAGATCATTCATCAGAGATACAAATTTAGAAAGTCAGTGAGGAAAAAAATTGCATTGCAGACCTATTTGTATTCCCAAAAACATCAACCAAGACATTTGCGTATGAGACTTCCATAGGCATTCCATGATCGTTATATTGACAGACGTGGTCTCTTCCGTTCGCTTATAGTGGTGAGGCTATCTATAAAGAGAGAAGGAATTTCAACTCAGGGAACTAAATATAACAGTTTAGAAAATATTACGGCTTCTGCTAAAAAAACAAAAAAAACAAAAACACGAGAGAGAGAGAGAGAGAGAGAGAGAGAGAGAGAGAGAGAGAGGAGAGTGAAAGAAAAAAAACAATTTGTAAAACAACCCTGCGCACAGTTTGTTTATATGGGAGACAGACTTTTCACTCTTTGGGTTCATGTATTCTTACAAACACTTTTTTTACCATCTGTAACAAAAAAAAAAAAAGTTAGATTTGTCATAGTATTAAGTTTTTGCAATATAAATAATCCAGATTCATAAAAAATGTAGAACTTGTTCCCAAAAAAAAAACATCTTCACTCTAAAGAAGCAACCAACTGAAAACTAGCTAACTATTATTATTTGATTCAAGGATTCCTTTGAAATTTCTCTCACACATGGGACAAAATAATGTTAAAACTTTTCTTCTTTATTGTGATATTACACCAACTGTTGGCAACACCATTGTTACAAAGGACATTTTATGACTTTGCAAGGCTTTTATTATACACGGATTGAGCGTCTTGTCTCAAAAGAAATAAATTCTCCTTGTGAGAGGAGGTACGTTTAGTTTGAATGTTGTTTAACACAGTCAAAATATACACGGGACAATAAAAACCGCCCATTTGTTTATAGTCTATATTAAAATTTTATAGATTGCAGTTCTAAGGCAAAAAATGAAAACGATATTATTTTTCTTTGTTGGATTTGCATATCTTGGATACTTCTCAATGTAAGTATTTTTTTCTACGTCTTTCAACTAAGGTTCAAAGAAGAAATAAGTTTGAAATGTATATCCCGACTGTATATTAAATTATTTGATCTCCATTTAAAAGATATCCAAAATTACTTTATTAATATTGGAGATACCTCATTTTCAAATAAGAACATAAAAAGGGGGATATTATATTCATTCTATAATGACGTAATTATTTAGAAATAAAAAGATATTTATCCCCCCCCCCAAAAAAAAAAAAAATGAAAAGCACAAATAATATTATGATGAATATCATTAGTTACAAAAATAAATAAATTATTTTGAATTTTACGTAACCGATAGATGTATTTGTAATTAAATGATAATAAAAGGTAGCTTAAGTTAAATTCTGGATTCGGTTGTATCAACGGTTATTAAATATTGATACAACCGGATCCTGATTTTTAAAAAAAATAAAGTCTTACCCAGACGTTCTCGTCCACATATTTAAATTTGTCTTGGTTAAGTTATAAGAACTGCAATCATTTTTTTAATTCTGTAGTTTCTCTCTTTCAGTGTGTGAATTATATTCATGTATAGCTGTATTATAGATTCGAGATGAGGAATAGAAAGCTGTACTGTATAACGAATAAATGAAATGCATCTTCTGTGTCCATGCTTTGATTTCTTTCCAAAATTTAATTCACCCTATTTAACTTTAGTTCGATGGAGCATATTCAAAGAGAAATTTGTAAAGCGGGAACAGGTGAGTTGTTGTTGATTTTTCATTCATTTTCACATAAATTATGGCTTGAAACTTCATGGTGCACTGATGATAATCAATAGTTTCTTAAATGAAATACAATTGTTTAAAAAATTTGGGAAATGTTGATATTTACTCAGTTGTATGATCTTTTGTGATGAACATGTATATGTTGGCCATGAGGATGAATTAGAGAACAAACGACTAAAAAAATTGAAATTATATTAATCCCGCGAAAATAAATACAAAATACGGCATAATTATTATGTACTAGTAGTCTATAGAATTCGTATCATTGTGATATTTGAATTTGCTTTGCACTTAATTTAAGCTCAAATAATTCTATTCTATCTTAAAAAAATATACAGAGCTTTAATATAATTTTAAAACAAGATGTGTTTGTGAAACACTGATGCACCCGTATGGCAACTTATAGCAAAGGTTAAACTTTCCCAAATGCAAATCAAATATGTTGATACCCAAAGTAAGGATTTGTCTCGAGGAATAAACCTGTGAAATATGAAAGGCCTATAGCAGCAACCATTGAATAGATATGGAAAAGGTTAACGTTTTTTTTCAAACGTATGTCAAACATCATGGTCAAGGTCAATGGTCAAAATTAATGGTGCCAAAGGAAACGCCTTCTCCCAAGAAATACACAGGTGAAATATGAAAGCCGAAGCACCAATCGTTCAAAAGTTATGGCCAAGGTTAAAGATTTCCAAAAGTAGGTCAAACTCCAAGGTCAAGGTCAAAGCTGTTGGTATCCAAAGGAAGGTCTTGTCACAAGGAATACACATGTGAAATATGGAAGCCCTAGCACCAACTGTTCAAAAGTTATCGCAAAGGTTAAAGTTTTACAAAAGTAGGTCAAACTCCAAGGTCAAGGTCAAAGGGTCAAAGTTGCTTGTATCCAAAGAAAGGACTTGTCACAAGAATTACACAAGTGAAGTATGAAAGCCCTAGCACCAACTGTTCAAAAGTTATGGCCAAGGTTAAAGTTTGGTAAAATTTTGCAAAACTGGGTCAAACTCCAAGGTCAAGGCCAAAAGGTCATATATGGTGGTACCAAAGGAAAGATCTTGTCATAATGAACACTCATGTCAAATATTAAAGCCTTACCCTTGACAGCGCTAGTTATGGGCTAGGTTAAAGTTGACAACAGACAGACAGACAAACAGACAGACAAACAGACAGACAGGACAAAAACAATATACCCCCGGGATCTTTCGATCCGGGGGTATAAAAAAATATTGCTAATACAACTGTAACGATGTATCTGCTAAGCAAACATGTTAAGAAAAATGGTGTACATTCAGTAATGAATAATCGGTAAGAAAAATCAAGCATATTGATCAACTCAGTCTATACTCCGTATAATTTAATTTTTGTTATTTATTTCAGCATCTTTAAATATAACAGTGGGAAAAGAAGTACTTCTTCCGCCAATGATCAGGGGTGGCTTTCATGCCCCTCTTTTGGTGATAGACCCACCCTATAGAAAAAAGCGAGAGGTTTGGGGTCCTTTAGGACTTCTTCCAAAACTTATATCATGTCGTCCTGGCAAGAAATACGATGTGACTATTTCAAAAGTATTTAAAGTAAGTATAAGCCTCTCCATGATCTCTTATTTTCCATCCTACTGTTTTGTTAGTTGATACAATTACTGTATACATTGATTTACACGAGTGACTGCAGTTTTTGAAATGTATGTTTTTGCAATGAAATGAGCGATTAAAGTATAAAATCTCCCATATATTTCAGAAAGGAACAAATACTGATTTTTCCCAAAAGACCTTAATCACAGTGATTGATACAAAAGAACTTTTAAAGCCAACCTTTGAATATTTTGTCACGGGTATGAAGCATTTACGTGTTTGTTTTAATTTCGCTATTTTGAAATTTGCACCTAAAAAAAGAAAGTTTTGTTAATATTTACGAAATATTTCTTCCAATTGTATGTACCATAGTAATTATTTCAATTTTAGGTTTATTTTCAATTAAACAAGTTTGTATAATGCCACATAAATTATACTAGACAGTTGTAATTTAATGTCTTATAATAGATTACTAGTATATCAGTGGTACTATGGCAAGGTAATACTTGAACAAACTCTGGTAAGTTAAAATATGCAAAATAATTAAACATACATGTAAGATTTCATGGATATTAATATAATTGCGTCTGGTCATTTTAGCATCCATGGACCTTGACGGCTGCATATACATAATCAGTGCACGTGAGTGGAAGAATCTTAATGTCTTTCAAAAGCGTTGGTTGAAGAACAATAAGTATGCGGACAACTGCAGAGACTTGAACGAGGTACAAGTATGATTGTCATATTTCTCTTTTCGTGAACCATCAACACGTGGCTTATTGTAGTAACCCTGTCCTGAGGTGATCGCATTTCAAATTGCGAGTTGAACTCCCTAGGTCATCAAACAGACACTGCACAATGATTTTGTATGAGTTATATAGTTAAAAAAAGTTAAAACAAAAACCCTTCCATTTTTGTGTGAGCTATTATTTAGCCATGCAGGTGTTAGCGCACGGCGGGTGTGACCGGTCGGCAGGGGATGATCACTCCTCCATGGAACCTGATCCCATCTCTGATATTTTAGAGGTCTGTGTTTGCTCTGCTCCAACATTTGTATTGTTTAATGGGCTTTTGAACTTGAATAATGTTCGTTATCCATATATTTCATCCAGACAATCAAATACATGTACATGTAAATGCATCTGCACACCACAGAATCCATATTTTGTAAATTATCGGTTAAATAGGATTATTTTAAACGTTTTAATTCTTAACAAAAGTGTCCCTGTTAATGTTAACCATAATATCAATGTACACCGTTTATGAAGTAAACACTATCATGTAATACATTTTGTCAAAAATTAAAAAAGTTTTTCAAAAGTGGTTGGCATTGGACATGCGGCTGGCACAGCATATTTTAGCCTTCTTCATAATGTAATACATGAATAACTTACAGTATTTAGGTAGCATTGTTTGCAGTGCATTTTGAAGAAATATTTATCGGGGGTTGGTGGGTTGGCTTTACTTCGATAATTGATTTTTTTTTACCGGTTTAATCCATGTAATGATTACAAATATAAGAAAAGGTTGCCTAAATCCCCTTTTTGCTGAAAACCTATGGTAACCAGATTTAAGACAGCATTGACTAAAAGTTTAATTTTTCTGTTCTGCAGTGCTTCAAAGATAACAAACTCCCCGAGGAATCTGATCCCACTTTTGAGTGTTATGACAGATTTTCGTTTTGTTCATCAAGAGACAGAAGGCTTAGGGGACGAAAGGGAAAATTAGCCAGGTGTATTAGAAGGAATAAACAGTGAATTAACACTGCCTTAATAATAGTAAAAATCAGAGTATACCACACATACAGGTACTTTTCTTTCCGAAATGTTTCTCTATCTTAAATGAATTCGTACTCGCGTTTTCTTAAATTTAGTAATTGAATGACCAATTATTACATTATGTCTATAGAATGATTTAACAGGTCATACCAATTTTCGTAATTATTAAAAATTTATGGAGAGGTTATATGTGTTAAGCGGTTCACTGTGAAATAATAAAAATGGTTCTGAATTTTCTTTTACGGTGTACACTTGCTGTCGAGGTCTTCCAGTACTTGTATCTTTTCAATATGTACATCAAGCAATACTCAGATCTTTGGGAAACGGTCTATTCCACCTAATAAAGGTTAGGGAACCTTGAAAACTTCCCCAATTCGTCCAACTTGTATTCCAAATACAAAAACATGTCATTAATATAATGAGGAAGCTTACAATATTGTACGGTGTAACATTTCATCTACCGGGTATTCCTCTTTTATCGGTACTTCTGATAGAACCTGATCTAATTAACAATTACCCAATATTTGGAGAGAGGGAGCCAAAGTTATACACTCAAACACAAAGATGTTTTAATTTTATTTCGTCTACTCATGATGCGCAGATAAAAATGACATCCATCGATCAATAAATATACTCAGACACGAGAAATTCATGTATTTACATATCACAGGTGAAATGAAACAAACAAACATATCCCTTTATTATTCCAATTACCTTTTCTGCAAAAGCCTTCAAAACAGACAGAGAGTGAAGAAATGAGAGATTTAGTATTCTTCAGCTTACATGATATGATCTTTACTGATCAAATTATTTTAAACACCTGCAATGTATTATAAAAGCTGATCACTATATGGTTTACAAGTTTAGGAAGTTGACTTTAAAAGGCACACACTCTGCAGAATGAAGCAACAAAATACCAAAGGAAAAAAAAGGTACAACAATACATTTAGGGTTGAGAAAGGAATATAAAAATTCAACAGTTAGTTTGGGTCTAATAGTAATAAAGCAATAAATAAGAACTTTATTATATTTACATAAAGATTGCATAGTTCTCATGTAATATTTATATAATTATCCATTTGATTACAAACACTCTGAAATTTTAACAACACAATATAAATATATTAAGTCTTGAAAGCTCTTTAACGTCAAATCAACAGCAATATGAGGTCAGACAACAAGCAGATAAAATAAAAAGTTTTCCACAATTATAAAGACAATCTTGTTATGTGTGTGTACAAATAAATCTGTTGCCCATTTACATTGCCGGTAAATATCAGTTTCCTACTTCAATCAAATAAATTTTTACTTTTAATGTGTAAATTTGTCGAAATTGTTTATTAAATGAAGAAAGCGCTTTCTCTTGGTTTTGTTTCAAGTATTGGGAATAAAAACTAAGTTTATTGGCACAATCAAACAAATATAGTGTATGATTATTTACATTATGATACATTCTGCATGCAAACATGGAATAAAGAGAACTAACAATTAAAATTTGATACATCTAATACCAACAAACACCAGATTTAAGTCTTTAACAAATGTAAAACATGCATGTTCTGAAAACCTGTCGTTGCAAAAAGAAGTTGCCTTTCCAACCTATTCATTACCTACAAAAGCACTAAAGTGAAAATCACCCTTTTTTACTATAAGAACTTTTAATTGAACTTCTTTTAGATAATTCCTTACTGAGACTTAATTTAAAACTAACATTTTTTTTTCTAGACGATTGAATTACTTCATATTGATTAATTTCCTCCATGGCACTCAATGAATAAAGGAGATTTACAACCTCCAACTATTTTTAAATAACCTAAGTATACATGAAATAAAATACACTGGTTATTTTAACAACATATGCATGAAGAAATGTAGGATCAACTAACAAATTTCAATGCTACTTCACAAGCAAATAAATTCTAGACACACAAACTTCACAAGAGCTACCCAAAGCTAACCAAACAAAGCTTCGTTGACAACAACCATTATAATCTAAATCTGGTAATTATCAACCAGGGAAAAAAACCTAGTATTTACCAACCAGTTCAGAATATAGCTAGTAAATACTTAAAATTACCACTGTATCCAGAAGAAACTTAGTAATTATCAACCAGAGATAAAACCTTGTATTTAATAATCAGGGAAAAATATCCTGATATATTGTACACAAACAATTCAAGTTCTTGTCCACAATAATCTACCAAGCATACTGCATTCCTGTTCACTTAAAACTCTCAAACAACATCTGTTTCTAAAAACAGTACATCTGTAAAATTTACTTCGAGTACACACATCCAAGCAAAGGAAAAATACAGAACTTCATCACAAAATATTCCATACAAACTACTGGTACAAGGTTTCTATTCTTTTTTATACTTGTCCAAAAATGTAACAAGTTTAATGGGGGAAAAATGCTGTAGAGTCAATCTTCCAAGGTAGCTTGTTTCATTTGTGACTGAAAATCCTACAAGCTTTTCAAATACTTTTATTTTCTCAACAAACATTGAGACTGGTGAACCAAATGAATAACTGTCATAAATGCAAAAAACCAAAATGAGCCACCTATAAAAAAAGATAATCTACAATATGCCAAATAACAGTTTCTATTGCATAAGCTTTAACGTTAAGCTTCAGACTCAGGTTCTTCCTCAATGTCCAAGTCATCACTGATTGGTTGCTGCATAGATTCAACAGTCAGGTTTTCCATTGGTTGAGCCAGGTCACCTGACTCAGCCAAGTCTTCTGATTCGTCAGTAGCAGTAAGCACTAGATATTTTCCATCAGGAGATAGAGGGAGGTTATGAAGATTGTCTTCCTCCCCTTCAGGAGCGTCTTCCAGCTGCTGAATATTCTGTAACAGTATGTTCTTCTCCCTTGTCTTCACATGCTGGATTTTCTCCATCACTTTCTTTTCCTGCAAAAAAATAAAGAATACCATGAACATTTTGAAAATTGCATTAAATATGTTACGAATATTTAATTACAGTTTTTTAAATCCATCCTTAATAAAGCTGCATTTTATTACACATCCAGTCGGAAAATGTATGAAGGGAACCAGTTTGCTCCAATATCAAAAATTGCTTTACAAAGCATAATATGATTTCCAACATTTGTGTCAAAGTCAGTTAAACTACCGATGTTTCATTAATAATTCAAGAATACATGCAGATTCTGAAATCATTTACTAGTTTAAGTGATAAGTAGTTGATTAAATACATTTTAATATGTATTTCCCTGCATTTCATATTAGTTAACATCCATGTACATGCAATGAATATTCTTGGCCTTACTTTTTCAGTTAAACATTATTTCCATGTAATTATGTGAAACTGTCTACTCATGAAAAAATTACTCTGGCATATTATATATAACGCGAAAATAAGGTATCACAAAAATTTAGTGATCTACAGTACACATAATTATATAGAATCAGTATGCATATTTATATATATTTAATGTTCAAATTAGAAGCAGAATATTATTTTATAATATTGTGCAGACACAATTTGTGCTAATATGTACACATACATATAATTGGCCAGGGTATATATTTGAAGCTCTGTTATTAAAAGTAATGATAAAAAAAAGATACATCATGCAAACAATTTCATATTGCACAAATAATGCAAATACATGTACTATGTTATTTTCTGTTTTACATGCTGTCAGTCAAAAAATAGTCCATGTACTTAATAAACGTTGTATTCATGCATTAAAGTGTTATACATGCAATCTGAAATAAGAAAATTGAGTATTTTTTCTTTCACCGCATCTTCAAAAGGGAACTTTTATACTTTTTTTTTTTTTTTACAGCTAGTTTATCATGCAAATGACAGATATATATGATTTGTTTTATTTTTCATTCATTTTTTTAATGAATACATAATGAATTAATATTAAATACTTATTAAATCATTTTACAACAAATTTAGGACAAGGAAATAAAAATTTTATTTGATTCAGATGGTACATTGGTGACTTAAATTTCATAGTTTTGACAATTTTCTTTTCTGTTGCTGAACATCTACAAAAATATCTTAATAGATAAACTTTATATCAAAACAAATCATGAGTGGAAATAAGAAATTAGTTTATATTTTCGCTCTCGATACTGATGTATTGAAAGCTGTGTATGTTAACAAGGCTTCTAAAATAGCAAACAGTGTTTAAATATGCCATAAAGCATATGAATATACCTATAGATAAAATTTTATTAAAATATTGAGATTTGAAGACTTTCTTACATGTAAAAAAAAAAAATTCAGTTGTCACAAAAAAGGTGAACAAAAGTACATGAGTTAATAAATATTCCATCCCCATTTTCTAATGTCTGTTTTTCACAAATACCTTGATATATACATTCAAATGAGAAAATCAGCATATCAGTAAATACCTTTAAAAGTATCATGAAATGTCAGAAAATAAAAAAAAAATAAATTATCCAATCAATTGAATATCAAAGTTAAACAAAATTAAAAACTAACCTTTTTAATAATAAGTAACTTTAATCATGCAAGTTATCTAATGACACTTTTTAAAAAGACATCTGATTAAATAGATATAAAAATTAACATGTTGAAATTGAAAATGCACTTGAATGCTGGACCTTAAACCATGTGATCACAATCTTAAATTTTGCTCTGTGAATACATTTAAAGCTTTTGGAATAAGGGGAAGGTCACTGCAGTGTTTGATTTGATATGCTGCTTTTACTGGTATTCATGTAAAACAATACTTGCCTTCCCTACACCTGGAGGTAACTTACGTTGCTGAAATGAACAGGAGATGTATGGAAATAGTCGTCAATTTCTCAACAATATATGGCTTATACTGTAGTTTCATCATTTTCTGTTCAACACCAAATTTTGTTGTTTTCAAGGTTGCAGATTTGGGCAATAAAATTAGGTGATCAACAAATTACAAATTTAGCTGTATATGACAGAATAGGACCAGGTTGCCATCAACAAATTTACATATCAATGAAATTTTATTTTCTTGACCAAACCATTAAATTTCATCCCCACAAAATTAATGAAACCACAGTATCCTTTAATATTAAAAAGTAGTATATACATATGTCCCTTATGAACATAACCATGGTATACTGTAAACTGAAAGGTGAGAGCAGAAAAAGCTGAGATTTAATCTGACTGTGGTCATAAATACCAATGAAGTTTAAGAGTAATGTGATATAGAAAATTTCTGACTACTTATGAAAAATTGTAAGTCCTCCAATGAGAGAGTGAAGTGATCCATACAAGTCTGTCATGCTGATGCCACAAGAGACATTACTAGATGTATATTAATATTACCAATGTGTTGAATATATGGTGTATGTATCACTTTTCCAGCAGGAGTTTAGAAAAAAAAGAAAGTGTCTTGTTTACACATAAATGATAAGAAAAATGGATTTGGTTTACAAGTGCTTCACAGTTTACATGTATTTAAATGGATGTACAACAATTAGACAGTAGTACCCTTTCATGTTATTTGAAAGGAAAAGTGAAGGGGGAAGGGGTGTTCTTACCTTAAAGTTGAAGAAAAGTTTTCAATATTTAATATGTGGATTAAATGTTTCATGTTTCCAAAGAAAATTGATGATATATTAATACAGGTTCCCTGCACATCATGCTTTTCCCAAAAGTTCAGCTTTCTGGATGTCAAAATTTATTCAAAATTTTTAATCAAGCTGATCAGAACAAAGTTTAACTGGACAGCTGTGTGTGTGTGTGTGGGGGGGGGGGGGGGGATTGTAAAATGTCTTTCCATGTTTAAAATTTGAAATCTACACAAGTGTTTACATATTTCAGTATTGCCAATTACTTGAAGAGCATAACTGATAAATATACAGACCCTAAAACGTGCTACTACACCACTTGCTTCTTGAATGGTACATTTCATTTTGTGAACAGTACGTTTCATTTTGTGAATGGAATGGTTTGTTTTTGAGGTGTAGTAGCATAGTTTTGGGTCCGTACATGTAATGCATTGCAAGAATATCCACTTTAACACACCTCTATTGCTTTTTTTTAAGTTTTATAATTATTATGTAGATAAATGGTCCAATTAAAAAACATCATTGTATTTGCTTATGTTCCAACATCATCCAAGATGACCCCCCTTATTTTTTAATGAAAATAAATGTACCAGTTAAGTCTACAGCCACTCCAACCATACCATCATAACAGCATATCATTAGTACTTATTTATACATGTATAGTGCACAATGTCATATTAGTACTTTTAACACACTTTCAAAAACATAAGGTTATGACAAACTAGCTTTTAAAAACTTTTCTCATATTTAATAGCAAACGCAGCTCTATAGAGTAATTCTTCACTATACTGACTTGAACGTTTTAAAAATACATGTACTTGTATAAATTCATAGCATTATACATACACATCATTACAAGTTTATGTTTTAATCAAGAAATATGATCTCTGAACTTTATTCCCTCCTCTACATAATTGATTTGAAGTTATTTTGAAAAGATAAAGGAGAAGGGATAAACTATTTTTGCAAAATAGTGCAGACATAATTTTAAGTTACTTTTTTGAAAGAAATTATATCAATTTATTTACCATTAATGCTTGAAAGGCAAGTTTTGTTGCTGTCCCTATAGCTAGACAAATCTGGAAAGAAAAAAAGAATAAAAATCATCATAACTGAACTCTATATTAAAGCTGATCACAGATACAGAACACAAATATTTTCAAATATGAAGAGGCCATATCCTCCTGTAAAAAGTTAAAATTCAAAATTTTAAAGGAGATATTATTAGTGCTCTGTTCAATCAATTAGACATGTCAATTTAATTGATCATAAAAGAAGATTATAGAAATATTTTCACCTCCTCTGCAGAAATGTTACATTCAAAAACATGGCAAGAGAATGTGGACTGGGTGGCTCCTGGAGGCTTCGTTCGAGTGATAAATGCAAATAATCTGTAAAGCATTACCAAAAAAAAAAAAAAAAATCTTTATATATTGTCAGCTTCATTTATATATCTTTCAGTCCTTTACACATCATCAATTGTAATTTATTAATTATAACAGGATCTTGAATGAATCATTATACATGTTTATATTAAATTATAAATGGAGATGGATGCATAGCGTTATTTAATAATACAGTGTATTACTGTACCTTGTGTTCTCTGGATGTGCTGCCCAAAACGAAATGTCTGCCAATGCAAATTGTGTCCTTACTGTATTGTTTGAAGGATCTATCAATCTAGGAAACAGATCATTTCTAAACATAGTGTATTAGAAAAAAAACTTCATATATTACTTTATTTTAATCACATTTCAAAAATACTGTAACAATTAATACACCACAACTTGCCATTATGCTATAGAAATTTACGTAGAATTTGAGATAACCATGTGTTTGGTCTTACCTCATACATTCACTGGACACTACCAGCCTAGATTCTGTCATTTTAAACACATTGTGAATTGCCCGAGCTGCCATGATTTGTCTCATTGTTTCTTGAACTAGCTTCTCACCTACATCAAACATAATGTATTTTGTATTTGTTATTTTCTCTTACACATTCATACTCAAAAGATAGAGGGGTAGAGAGAAAGTCATTAAACAAAGGCACAGTAAAGCAGAGCATCTCCTTGTAAAAGAGCACATCGATCCAGGTATAATTTATTGCTTGCTTAACTTCCAATATGCACACACTCACTCACACACTCAGCCACACACACAAGCACATTACTATATCCCCCCCAACTTTGTTGCGTGGGGATAACAAGCATTCATGTGTGTATAGGATAGTTGTCATTCCAAATTCATTTTTTTTGTTTAAAAGATCTTTAAGGGTATATACATATACAGTTGAACTTTGATATCTCTAACACTGATATCTCGAATACCATGGATATGTCAGGTGATTTGGAAGTCCCAACAACTTATTCTTTAAATATTTTACTCCTGATATCTCGAATCCTAGGATTTCTTGAAGTTTTTTTTTCAGTCCCATCTAGTTCGAGATAACGAAGTTTGACTGTAGTATACTGACCCTTTAAAATCACAGAAATCAACACTTTAATGGCAAGAGGCATCTGATTAAAGGGGGAGGGGTTGATAAAAAAATAATTATAAGCAAGCATAATGTATTTTCAGTGAGCCAGATAATTTTGAGAATCTTGAGAGATTTTCTTACCTCTATCAGTGGGTACCTCCATTGACCCCAAAAATCTAACAACAAAACTCTCCACAAAAGTTGCATTGTCAATGGCTGAGTCCAGGGAATCCAACACTTCATTGGCAGATTGATCAAATGGGTTGATCCTCCTACAGTGGGAAAAAAATTTAGAAATATTGTAAAACTAAATTTTTTTTTACTTATATACACATACATGTATATGAGGTACACTGTATTTTGAGTTTCAAAAAAATACCATATTGAATTTCTTAAACATTTGGTAATCATAATAAATAGTTATTTAATATATGTACATGTATATTGTTAAGATTGTGATAAATCAATACATGTATTGAGTATGTATGGTTAAAGTACATGTATTAAATCAATTTAATGTAACAGTTCCAGTTTTATAATTCAACAAGATATGTGTCCTACCAAAAGAATTAGTTCATCAATACTGCACCATGAATGAGGTTAATTAAAACCAAATAATATATGTACCGGTATATGTGCATCACTACATGTATTTTGATTTTGTTCATACAAGTACATTATACATTATTTGGAAAGGAAATTTTTTTTTTAATTTTATAATTTCTAATGTTACTGTACAACAAAAGTTCACCATCCATAAAAATATATAATTATATATAGTGGTCCCCATAAATATTAAAAAATTGAGAATATATATTTTTTCTAGCAAACTCAAAATCAAAGCAAAGCATTTAATACATGTTTAAAGGTCTATACAGTAATTAATTCAATGTTGGTTTATAAAATACAGCTGTAAAAATCAATGTTATAATTCTCCTGATTTCTAAATGAGGAATGAAATGTCATAGCACATAATGGACTAGGGAAAAAATAACTCTGATTTAAGCAATTTGCATTGACCTATATGTTACTCTATACATCCTGAAACCTAATATAACTAATAAAAAAAGCAAAACAAAAACACCTTCTTAAAAAATAGGGAAAAAAAAAAACAACAACAAAACAATGCCAATACATGCATGTACTATTCATGCAAAAATACAACAGGAGTTCGGTGAAATTCCTTACGCTTCAGGGCTGCAATAAAATATTATCTTAATTAATAAAAATAGTATAATTTATTTTAGTTGGTCCTATATCATACACGTACATGCATATGATTGTATGAATTTTCAAAAAATATGCTGAATTAATATTCCACTTATTTTACATTACACATGCCTACATGAATATGTATTGTATAGTTGATTTTTACACAGCTAGACTATTACATAAACCAAGTCCCTATAACACTATAGCTTTTACACAGAACTTCCATTTTCAACATTTATACCTTGAGTTATTATAATCTAATGAAAAAACTCATATTTATATATTCCTATAAATTGGCAAAGAAGATAGTCACTTATTTAAACATATATATATACATGTATTTTGTTTTTCTATGCTTTACAGAAGGCTACATGTATACTGCTTTTCCACAATTGTTTGAAAATCTTAAGTATGGTTTTCAGCTAATATTTGTTTATTTTTCCACGAATTGATTAACATTAACGGATTGCAGCAATGTCTTTTCCATGAATTTTAGATGACCACAGCTAGTATGCAGCTACTGTATACAGGGAATTTTTGCCCCCATTTTATTCCCCCCCCCCTTTCGCCCTTATCGAAATTGGGCAAATTTAAAATGTGCCAATTCAAAATGGGCAAAATTGTTTGCAGGTGTGAAAACAGGGAAAATAAGATGGGGCAAAAATAACCATACAGTAACTGTATTTCAATACTCTGTTCTGTGTCTTTTTTTCTGCTCATTGTAATATTTATTTTTAACAGTTGTCTTTAAGATACAAACCACCACCTATTATTCAAGGTTGCACTGTCATTTTTTGCTTCGATCAGCAATTTCAAATACAACCCAACAGTTGTCAATTAATTAAATCCATTGAATTTTGAATATTTACAACAACAAGTGAATATTTTAGGATTTAAAAATTTTGTAAATCATTTTAGATATACTGCAATGTTAAAGACGTTAAAGATATTTTTATCTATAAGCGTTTAGTCCTTTAAGGATATTTGACATTTCAAAGACCTTCTTGGTCAAAATTCTACTTCCATCTTAATGTTAAATTGAGGACAATAGATACATGTACATACCTTTAAAAAATATTGCAGAAAAAATATTCGTGAAAAAGGAGTATCTTTCGTTGCAGAAAAACAGGATTTTTTTATTTTTTATTTTTTTTTTTTTTGAGAAATCAGAGTGAATTAGTGGAAAAGTGGAACAGCACTTTAAAATACATGTAGAGGTTTGATTTTACAATTATGATTACAGACAGATAACTGAAAATAAAGTAGTCTTAATTTAAATTGGCTTATTTAAAATAATGTCCTCATTATAAAGTCCAGTCCTCTCTGGTTTTGTCCACTGCATTCAATTATTATCCATCTTAATTAAATCATTATTTTCTTACTAAAATAACTCTTATGTGCTTTATGAAGGCCAAAAGGAAATCTAAAGTAATATTATGGTAGCACAAAATATCCACTAGGAAAATGGTGAGTAGAAAAAAAATAACATAGTTACATGCAAACACTAACTTTGGTGGACCTGGTAGACTGGACATAACTCCGCCGTTCTGACTGGTGGGGGATAACAGATCAAACTGAATGGGAGCATCAGCCACAAACGAGCTGGAGGGGGTGGGGGCCGGGGTTTTGGGGACAGCCCCTGTACTGGTCATGCTGTGAAGATGTGAAAAATACACAACAAAGAAAAATAATACACATCAAAAGAAATCAAGACTATAAAAATTAAAAGTACAAAATGAAAATATTTATAAAATTGTGCCTACAGTGTACTAGGATTAGAAATATTGAATGTGTGTTTAAAAGATATTAACATGGAATATAATTTATAATAAACAAGTATATATTAATTACTGTATAATTTATAATTAATAATAGTTTTTATTATTTCACTTCATGCTTTACTGTATTTCAATATACATGTATGTTTCCATTTCATAAATGTGAGAACCATATATTCAACATTTTAAAAAATTCATGAAAGAAATTAATGTGGATTTTCACTTATAATCTTGAATATGAACAAATTGTACCAGCTACTAGGTGAATCTGTTGAAAAGTACATGTACTTTATAATTACATGCAGACTTAGCATACACTAATATGGATAAAGATAAGACAGTCATGCAAAGTGCACTGAAACTTTACTTTTCAAAAGTATACATGTATTTGTAAATATACATGCAGGTTTGAACTTTGCTTCATTATCTTGGCTGAATCAAATTTCATCTAACATACATGTACATGTAATTCCAAAAGGATGGTAACATAATTAAATCATTCTCTTTTATAAATTTAAAAGTCTTTAATGCAATTATAGAATTACTTAGTTTAACCTACACTCTATCCTTAAAAAAAAAAAACCAACTGATTTTAAGTCAGTTGTAAAAAGTGACCACTTCAATGATGTAAAATCAACTACTCAATGAACTATAGCTTCCTGTAATTTACATTTAATCTAGCAAATGCTGAGTGATCATTATATAGTGCTGGACTCTGAGTAATTATTTAGAAAAAAATTGTTCATTGCAATTGGTATGCAGCTATGAATTCATAGACTAACAAGTACCTTCCTTTGCATGTAACAAACTTAAGAGTTTCAGGGAGAAAATAAAATCATGGAACCATGAAAATGCACTTGTATATAATATCCCAAAATGAGGAATTGAAACATGGAAATTTGTTTTCTTAACTTTGCATCGAAGCTTTGATCAACAGTGTATGCTATATTCTATGCTACAAAAATTTCAATTAACTCACACAAAACAAGACTGTTAATAATTAAGCACTTAATATGGTAATTAGTACCTGCTGGAGCTCGACTGGTCGGGACTGATAGAACCCTGTTTTGATGCACTGCTGGTGCTTGAAGTCCTCTCCTTAAATTAAATCACATACTTACAGAGTATGTCTCCTGAATCTAGAATATTTTTTTTTAAAGAAATCATCATTCTTTAAGTTGTAAATACCTTGGGTTTAACTTGCGGATTTTTGTCTTTTACATATCCACTTTCCCTCACAATGTTATTAAGTGTGCAGATCCACTGAAAAGGAGGTAATCAAAACAGGCATCTAAGTTCACAGATTCTTCCTTTGTTACAAGCACAAAATTAAACATAAAGTACTGAATTTTACCAGAAACCTACTGTAAACGTATTACATTTAGCTGTGTATTCTATTTAGCGCCTTTCGCGGAAAGCATCTTCCGCTAAATCAAACACATCGCTAAATGTCTTGTTTACATATATTCATATAAATCACATTCAGAAGGCGCTAATTCAAATCTACGCTAACTTGTTAAGAAATCAATTTCCGCCAAATATCGTACACGCCAAATGAAATACATTTACAGTATATACTATACACTATAGTATATAGGTCCCTGATTTTACTAAATAATCATAAACTCAATACAATGTATTAAAATTCAGATACATAAATATGCATCTATGAATAACATACCTCGTCCTTTTCCCTTTCATTTTCAGCTTGTAAAACTATATTTCTGAAAGAAGAAAAAAATGACTAATCATTTATAAAGGTGTTAATAAAAACAAATCTATAGTTGACCTAAATGTATGTTCATGATGACCTTGATTGTACTGGGTTAACCTTAAACTTATTGCAAGTTACATTATACATACTGGCTTAATTGGCTAATAGGAGTGAAATATTGGTTCACCATGGTATCAATTCACTGTGGCATTTTTGGCGGTTTGATACACGGTACAAAATGTCCATTTTCAGTTTGGTTCATTTTTTGATGGGAATCTTTATTCAGTCAGGTTTAGCATTTGTAAAAACACACTTCACAGCATGATTAAATTATAATAACATGATCTTCTATCAAAATATATCGATAACGACTGTACCATGACAAAATTGTAACGATACTTATCATATCATGATTGGCTAAATGTGTACACAGAACAAAAAATTTCTAAAATATGCAGCTGAAATAATTCAAGATGTAAAATTCATTCTGAAGATTATATAGATAAATGTACATGTATACATGTAATACTATGTATAATAGACAAGAGGCCCAAGGGCCTTAACGGTCACCTGAATATAATACAACAATTTAGAGGACCCATAGAGTATAAAATGAACTGAAAGGTGAAGCTTTGTTGCCCAAAAGCAAGAAAAATGGGGTGATCAGGATCAACAAAATAATTAATCTAGTATTCATTGACAGTTTATAAGTTAGGTTCTAATCTGTTCCCTATTTATCACTACACTATACAGTATATTAAAAATTAATAGGTTCTAATCTGTTCCCTATTTATCACTATCACTATACAGTATATTAAAAAACTATCAGTGCTTCTATACTATTTTAATTTCTTGTTGAAATCTCTTACATTGGCCTCTCTTGGTCTTTGATGAACATTTAGTAAGGCAAGTTATTTTTGTTCCCATTTTTATTTATCTATTACTTACAAAAATTTTTAAAGAAATAATGCATTTTTACTACAGATTCACTATATTATCAATAGAGCCCCCCCCCCCCCCCCCCCACCGAGAAACACTGGAGTCTCTCACCCTGGGACCAGAAGTTTGCTCATCATAAGTAATCACTTTGTTTACCTGCTTAACACTAAGGAGCAGACAGGATTATTTAATAGAATTAATGCATTTTCACTATATTATCAAGAGCCCCACCCTTACACCAGCACATCTGACCCAGGGTCATGCAATTCACTACTCTGGAAGAAGCACTCTTGCTCATCATAACTACATGTATATACTTAGCTTCTTTGCTTTTTAACCAGAAGCAGAAAAGAATATTTTCGTAGAAATTTTGCTTTTTCACTATATAAATTTAATAATATAATCAATAGAGGCCCCCCCCCCCCCCAACCTTTTCACTAGAATCCTTTACCCTGGGGCCATGAAGTTCACAATTTAGGAATAGGCATCATTTCTTATTATAACAATGTACTTAGTTTGTTTCAAAAATACCCAGGAGCAGAGAAGAAGATTTTTAAAGCATTAATGCATTTTCACTATATAATAAATAGAGCCCGGACCTAACATCGGAACCCCTGTTCCAGGGGTCATGAAATTCATTATTTTGGTAGAGTCACCCTTGCTTATCATAACTATGTATTTAATTTGTATCAATGATACTCAGGAGTAGAGAAGAAGATTTTCAAAGAGATAATGCACATTCACTATATGATCTATATAGCCCCGCCCTAGCAACAGAACCCCTGACCCTGGGGCTATGAAGTTCACAATTTTGGTAGAGTCACCCTTGCTTATCATAACTATGTATTTAATTTGTTTAAATAATACCCAGGAGTAGAGAAGAAGATTTTCAAAGAAATAATGCACTTTCACTATATGATCTATATAGCCCCGCCCAAGCACCAGAACCCCTGACCCTGGGGCTATGAATTTCACAATTTTGGTAGAGTCACCCTTGCTTATCATAACTATGTATTCAATTTGTTTCAATAATACCCAGGAGTAGAGAAGAAGATTTTCAAAGAAATAATGCACTTTCACTATATGATATATATACCCCCCCCCCCCCCCCCCCCCCAAGCACCAGAACTACTGACCATGGTGCTAGGAATTTCACAATTTTGGTAGAGTCACTCTTGATTATCATAACTATGTATTTAATTTGTTTAAATAATACCCAGGAGTAGAGAAGAAGATTTTCAAAGAAATAATGCACTTTCAGTATATGAAATATATAGCCCCGCCCTAGCACCAGAACCCCTGACCCTGGGGCCATGAAGTTCACAATTATGGTAGATTCACCCTTGCTTATCATAACTATGTATCCAATTTGTTTCAATAATACCCAGGAGTAGAGAAGAAGATTTTCGAAGAAATAATGCACTTTCACTATATGATCTACATAGCACCCCCCCCCGAACCCCTGACCCTGGGGCTATGAATTTCACAATTTTGGAAGAGGCATTATTGCTTATTATAACTATGTATTTAATTTGTTTCAATAATACCCAGGAGAAGAGAAGAAGATTTTCAAAGAAATAATGCACTTTCACTATATGATCTATATAGCCCCGCCCTAGCACCAGAACCCCTGACCCTGGGGCCATGAATTTCACAATTTTGGTAGAGGGCTCAATGCTTATTACAATCATGCCAACAGTTTGACTGCTTGATGTCCAGGAGTAAAGAAGATTTTTAAAGATTGCATTAATTTTGGTGGTTTTAGCCCCACCCCTCAGGCCCCAGGGGGGCAGGGACCATGATATTCAAAAATTTTGTTCCCCTTCACACATAGATGCCATATGCTAAAATTGGCTGAAATTGGTTCAGTGGTTTCAGAGAAGAAGCTGAAAATGTTCAAATGTTAACACACGATGCACGACGACGGATGAAAACAGATAGCAATAGGTCACCTGAGTGACTCAGGTGACCTAATAAAAGCTCTAATTTTATATCACAGAATAAAAACCTATTATACTGAATATGCTATCAAAAGCATGGATCAATATATTTTTATTAAATCAACCTTGTTGAAAGATATAAACACAAAACAATTCACAAACCAAAATCAAAGTTTAAAGATTGAATGGCTCAAAGTACGCACATTATTCAAAAGAAAAGAAAATTTGATTTTAATTTACCTTTTACTTTTTGGTGATAGAACTTGGAAAACAAAGCGTCTATCATCCGATTCATGAGGTTCTGCCAATACACCGGGTTCATTTAAATCCAGAACCAGGCTCCCAGCTAACTGAAATGTCAAAAATCATAACGTCAATTGTCTTCCTTTTTTTTTTAATTTTTAAAAAAAATATTTTTAGATATAAAAAAGTTAACTTCGTGTACATAGGTATTTCAGGAGGCTCATTTACACATGTCATAATGGATAACTCAAGGTCAATATGATGCTTTAAATTGTTCATCTAAAACATAAATGTACAATCCTAACATAACATGCATAAAGAAGTCTATTTCTAGTGTCTATATAGTCACTCTTACAATCATGTACATATATTTTCATAATTAGTACATGTATACTGCATGCATACTGGTAACAATAAAAATTTTTTCAGTTCTAATTGGAAAAAAATTCACAATTTATATCAATAGACTATCTCTTTCACTCTCACAGTAGACACAAGTGTATACTCATTCACAAGGGCACTAAAGAAATCAAATTCTACAATTAAAAAATCTGATGTAAATGTACACATGTGTATATACCGAAACATTGACCCCCCGGTAACAATTACACAAGCAGTATTGACAGATAATGGACAACAGACTGTATATATATATGTAATATATAAAGACAAGTTGTGCATGGAAACCATGGTGCTTGAATGCAAGGTTACAATTAAAGGAAATAAAAAATGAACAAAACAACGGAGTGTGCCAGAGGGAAAGATTTAATGCTTCACATTTGCTTCACATTTATCTTTGGGTTAATAGCTTACTCGCTTTGTGTTAGTGGGAATAACCTGAAAATTAAGATGTGATTGGGTGAAAGTTCTGGAAGAAAAGTTCTTGTATCAAACACCAGAATTACACGTATATTATGGCATGTAAATCGATACATGTAAGGTAGATCAATTATAAGCTTAAGCCCTGAAAAACTTGAACATACAACAATCGTTAAATCAAGCTACATACATTATGACAAAAGCATAAACATCTTCAGTGCACTGCTTATCATATGATATTATCAGTTTCTGAATATAGAGTATAGTTTGCTTGATCTGAAGCAAAACATGCAATTAATAAGTTATTACATATGTGGATAAAGATTACCATTATATGCATAAGGCCCCAAAAAATTAATTCTCAGGCCAAAAATTTCAAAATTAAATGTGGCAGGCAGTTCTTCTTCTTTTTTTTGGGGGGGGGGGGGGGGGGGGGGAAGCAGGTGTTATACCTTTTTTTTCATATATGCAGTCGTTCAACAAAATGACGATATCAATTGAACTGATATTAACTTTTTTTTGTTCTCTTAAATTAATTATAATATGTATATTCAACTTTAAATAATGTTATTCAAAACATTTGTTTAAAAGTTAATTCATAAAATACCATATTAACAAGAAATGTATTGTTTATCTAATAAAATCATCTATCTTTTAGCATTTATGAAAAGGGGAATAACTGTATTTTCTTTTTCAACTTGGAAAATATAAAATTGAGCTATTTCCCTTTTCAATATGTCAATAAAATTGATCAACGCAGCAGTTTTTGACCTGATGCGGTGGTACCTGAGAAACTAATGATTAATTTTTTTTGGCCTTATATAGTCAAAGTTTTGTAATTGTAACTATGATTTAATAATATATAACATACAAATGGAATTTTTGAGAGATGCAAATTTAGTGAGATGTCCCTAAAAATTAGTATACATATTTAGAAAGAAAAAAAATTTCAGCCACTTAACATTCTTGCTAATAATGCCAGTATTGAATCCACTCTAAAATTGCTGCTTTACGGTATGTGCATTTATCAAAACCATAATTACTTTAAAAAAAAAAAAGACACAAGAAGCTTTTTTTTCATTTTCAAGCTAAAGACATTATTTATAGTAATTAATTCATGTAAATTTGTATATATATACAGTACATAGGAGACAATTTGATTGCAATCACAGCTTTTTGGGGTGTAATGATATAACAATATATCCATGATAAATAATTTAATTCTGATTGTTATGCGCCATTTGATTGGATAACAAATTTACTTTATATCGTATAAATTGGGTTGCCTATAATGTCACACTGACTTGCGTCAAAAACGTACTGATCCTTCTGACGTTACATTTAAATTTTGTACAATTTGAAATCAATTTTTACGGACAATCATCTTTTTTCCTTAGACTAAATGAATGAAAATTAAATTATAAGGAATGAAATTAACAGTTACCCAATTTATATATTATAAAGTGGGTTGGAACAGTTTATGCTTTTTATAAACCGCTTCACGGTTTATAAAGCGTACACTGCCCCAACCCACTTTATACCGTATAAATTGGGTAGCTATTAAATTCATTCCTTCAATAAAATATTATATTGTATCTCCGTAAAAAAAACTATACTGGCTATAACTGTGCATCATGGTATATAACATTTTCGGCAATTTAGATTTTATTTATTCATTTTAAATTTAACCTAATAAAAGCTATGTTCTCCATTTACTTCAGCTGTTTTTATTGTGTTCAGAGCTTATTAAATGGTACATAATTAATATACAGCTGAATCTCAGTATCTCTAACACTGATATCTCGAATACAATGGATATATGTCGAAGTGATTGAGAAATCCCAACCCTTATTCCTTAAGTATTTTACCCTGGATATCTCAAATCCTTAGACACCTCAAAGTATTTTTTTGGTCCCATGGAAATGGAGATAAGAAGTTTGTATATGTAAACTTGATGAAATAATATACAACTTTTATTCTTTCACATTGTAATAGAGATTAGAGAGTTTCTTATTATAAAACACATGCAGGCATACAGAATATATTAAAAATATAAAAGGTGAAATAAATATGTTTTATTTAATGCAGTGAATGATTATTACCTGGTCTCTTGATTGACTCATCAAGTTCCCGCCCACCGTGAAAAAGAAGCATCGCTCCCACTTTGTGGCTATCAGTTGTTTGCTGAAAAAATGGCTTAATAATTAATCGAAGAAAGACACAAAAGGATAATAGAAAAAATGTATCACTTCAATATTGTCACCTCAGTACCTTATATGTACTAATAAGCTTAAAAAAAAACACGATTATATTCAATTCAATAAATTAATGCACAGTTTAACATGCAGTTTTAATACTTGAATTTACATGATAAAGTTTTGGATGAAAGGTGCATACTATTTTCAAAACATTGAATGTTGATGGGTGCATATCATTAAGTAATTATGTAGAACTGATTCACTTTAGTGAACTATTTTAAAATATTTTACATCATGCATGTGTAAACTTTCAATATTCTTGTATACATAAATTCTTACTTCTATCAACTGTGATGCATTTGTGTGTGGAGTACATGTACATTTGACCATAAATACAAGATTCACACAATTCAAAAATACATATTAACAGCTAGAACTATGTATTCTATAGCTAGAAACAATTTCACAATTCATTAACCTAAAGGCATTAATGCTTCTCTAAGTAACTAGTACACAAGCCCACACATAATATTGAGAGTACTTATTAATAATCTACATTTAGACATTTAGTGTTCACAACCAAAATAAAACATCACAATGTTAAGAGTCTGAGGATAGAACCATCACTAGCACACACTGACTACTTGGAACAATAAGAAAAAAGAAAAGTCCAGCAGAGGTGACTGCGTATATCACAAAGCTTACCCAATGGGGCCTGGCATTTGTATGTGTTTCCCTCTAAAAATGCATTGGACAAATGTTTAACATGTTAGTAAGATTTTTTACAGTAACGCTAACATATTAAACACTTTTGTTACTATACATGTTAGTGTAATCTGTATTGCACACAAAAACAAGTAAAGGGTACACTGACTTTCTAAAAAAAAAATGTATAACAACATGGCAATTTTTGTAGGCTAAAAGTCCATATTCAATTTTTAGCCAAAAAAAACAAAAAAACATGATGCAATTCTAAATAGAGCTGTCATTGATAGATTTGATCATTGTTGATAATGATGTATCATCCATTCAAATTATTTTGATAAAATTATTGATAAATTTTTGAGTATATATCGATACCATTTCTTGTTGTTCAAACAAATCCATATTTCTCATTTTATAAGTTTTCTTTTACCTTGAAACATCTTAATTAAAGTTTACTTTTAAAACTGCTGATATAAACAGCTTCTTATGCAATTTTGGCTTAATTTGCTCCATTTTCAGTATGTTTATTTGAAAGAAATACAACAAAAAAATACTTCAGTACTTCTTGGCTACTAGAGATGTATCCCTTAACTTTGAAAGAATTTGTAAATAAAATTATAACTTAATATATCTGATGTACTTTTTTTAATCAATATCGCTATAAAATGCTTCATCAATGAAATCAATTAATTAGTACTATCCTATTCAAAACTTGTGGAAAACTGGTGAAAAAGACGTATGTAAAAAATTATTAGACATACACGTATATACAGTAGAAATGGTTATAGCGAACAGGCTTACATGTATAACGTATTCGCGCTTACAGTGAAATGATTTTCATTCCCCATAGTTTTAAAAGATAATCGTGGTCCCTGTACCCTGATACAACAAATGAAAATGCTACATTATGTAGATACATAAATAGATACATAAACATCTAAATGCAGAAAAGATGCAAACACAAGACAAGGGAAGGTAGCTAGGTTAATCTTTGGTTTTTAAATCAAGATATGAGATCTACAGTGCTCTCTCATGTAGACACTTGTGTTTACCTCCTAACAAACAGGTAGCCTGCCTTCTGTGTCAGGTTAGTATTGGGAGGGATATAAGGCATGTCTACCATTGGTTCAGCATGATATAGATGAGCACTCTGTTGTTCGAGTGTGTCAATCAGTTCAACCGTCTTCTTGGTCTCCGTCTTCATTTCCTGCTGAACTCTGAAATGTTAGTAGAAAAGTAGAGACAGGCCAACAGTCTTCAAAACATCAACACTTTTAAACTTAGTCATTACTTTCTGCTCATTTACATGTATTTGAATAAAATTAAAATTTCATTTACGAGGGTTGATCAAAGAGTTCAGAGACAGTGCTTATAGATGTAGTATGTGTGTGTGTTTTTCTTCCAATTTTTTTTCCCTCCACTTTAACAAAGAAGCTAACTAGATAATTAAATATTACAAATAGGACTAATGGGCAAATTTTCTTGCAAAGTATGGGCAATGTTTGCCATCAATTAGTGGCATTATTGATAAACTTGTAACAAAAAACTTGCTGATTTAGAGTTATTAAAAAGTAATTTCTTGACTTTTAAACCCTTATAATGTGAAAAAATCTTGCAAATATTTTATCCTCGTCTTAAAAACTTACATAATGATTAATGAAAGCCTCATGGTGCCCTAATGTCATTATCATACACTTCATACACATTTTCTCTCTGATGCATAAAATGTTTTTTATTTCTTTATAACACATATTGGCAAGGAAGATCATTGCTTTTAATTCAATATTTGGAATTTCAAAATAAACCATAAAATAAAAAACTTTAACATGTATGTTATGTTAATAACTCTTGTTGGCATTCATGCAGAGGTAGGGGGTTGTAGTTATAAGTATAGGCATTAAAAGACACAATATCAGTAGAGAAGCCTGAAAACCAAATGGGCTATAACTATGCATACTGTATATACTTAAATTTGCATTCAATTCTGCTCCATTCATCCAAATATTGAACCACATTGGTAACAAACTTTGTGTGAACAGAGTTGCAACACCTGTCCAGTTATTTAGAACAAAATACTTCCCCTCATTTTTTATATCTCTTGTATACATGTTAATATCTTAATTACCCTTGTACACTGGTGGAGATATTATTCAGAAAGTCCTCAATCTCTTTCTTGCCCACTGCATCTTGGCCCATTTGGAAGAAGGCTCTCTGGGCATGAAGGTAGCCCATAATGGGCTCCAGCAGGGAACACTTCCTCTTGTACTGTAGAGCATTCAGACTGGAGTAGTAATGCAAAGATGTCTAAAAAGAAGGGGTGTCATCATTGCAATTTAATAAATTGTCCTTTTCTTAATTTTAAATATGTAAATTGGACATATATATGAACGTATGATTGTGAAATGCTTTAATTTGTAGAAAGATGTCTTACCTTAATAAAGTAAGGTCATATACTTTTAAACAAAATTTTTATCAATTGATACAGAACCTGGTATGTACTGAATATAAAGCCCTCATCCTACATGTACAGTGTATATATATTTACTATACGTTTTGTTGTGCTTCCTGGCACACTTGCATAAAATACTCCTGTAAATCTTACAAGCACTGTGTGACACATAGGTGCATATTTCAAAGGAAACAAGGAAAAAAAACCTAAGGACTTGGTTTATCATGTCTACATCAATTACATCACTCAATACATATAAACCTGATGAAATTTCTTCCTCATGAGGTAGAGTTCTTCACTACATTCCTGTCTGTGTCTCTCACTGTCCTTCTTCTTAGGTAATCTCATGTACCGATTCATAGCACTGTCATGTTCTATAGAGAGCAGGAAAATCAACAGAAATCAATCAAAGCTTTACAGACAGGAGGAAGGAGGAGTAAATGGATATAATGTTTCAGATTTTGATCAAAACAGCATCTTCCTTTAGGAGCTATCTCAAAATATCACAGGAATAATGTCTGCATTCTCATGTACAGGAATCTGTGAATTACTTCACATTTTTTTTTTTCAGATGAAAATCATAAATGTACTAGTTGAAAAATCTTAGATCAGTAAAATGTACTGTTTTATGTGCCATTAATTTTCCTTTTCATCAATACTTTTAACTTTCAAATACATTAAAAAAGATTTGCATACCATTACTTGCTAACTGGAACATCTCACATAAAGTTGTTACTTCTGAAAAAAAAAAGTCATTATTTATAGATGTACTTTAACTATCATGACTATGGCAGCAACTGTCCATGTTTTCATAAAGATATTTTTCTAAATTAACAAATAAAAGCTGACAATTAATAAATAAAATGAAAGTGTACTTTAATTTTACAAATATTTTTCACTGGCCCATTCAGTTACAAATGTAGGTACATGTGTACCTGATGAATCAGTACTATATAGTGACCCTGAAATATTTTAATAATATACACTAGCTGCCATACAGTGTATATTGTCATAAACAGGTGTAAGCTATATAAATGCGAAAAATAAAAACAATAAAGGAAGTGCCAAATTTGTATCTATGCTGTATAAAAAGGTTTTGGGCCAAAAATGGTATTATCACCTTTGGAGACACACAGAAGGCTTATTTTTTTACTTCCAATTTGAGGTAATTGAAGATTCATCTGACTTTGATCTATGACTTTCAAATTGGGCAAATAAGAAGTGCAAGATATTGTCAAAATTATGGATAGATGGATAAACAGCAAGAACAAAGAAAACAAAATTATAAATAATGCTCTCGATCTTCTTACTGGGTGTAGGATGGAGAGGCCGGGTGGGGGGACGTAAAATTGAATGAGATATCTGGGTTCTACTTCAAAATGTGTAACTCAATAAACCAGTTGGAAAAAAAAAAAAAAAAATCTGGATGACTTTAATGTGTCACATTCATTTATATGTCAAAGAAAATACCTTCTAAATCTGCCTGTAAAAATCTCGACAGAGGATACATCATTGTCTCGGAGAATTGTGCAGAAAGAACCTGTTGTATAGAGCTCACCTGGAATTTAAACAAATTATACAATAAAGACTTTTAAACAATCAATTTATTACGAAAGACTATGTTTCGCTTATGATACATTGTACCTCAGTTCTGCAAATTAACAACATATATAGGTCTACTTTATATAGAGTTTTACTTGTTATCTAAAACTGCTTTCATATTTGCAACAATATTGTATTTTGATTTATATGAATCCCATTTCTTCAGATAAACAAACACCTATGTTTCAGTTATAGCTGTACTTACATCATCTAAATAACTAGAGAATTGTTTCAGGGTAGAACTTAACACACTGTCATCAGATTCTAAAGGAAATTTCTGGAAAAGAAAATGATATACCCTAGTATATACCCTTGCTATATGGTATCATATACGTATCTATTAAATAATCATGAAGTTTGATGCAGAAAATAAGTTTAAATCCAACTTTTAATTATTAACACATATAACTTATGTGAGAAACATAAACCAATTAAAGCCCATCCCTTCAAATGCATTTTCATTGAATTGTTATCATGAAAATGTTATTATTCTCTGCAGGTATGATATTTTAAGTACGATTTAAACAAATATGACAGTGAAACTTGATGGATTACCTGTATTTCAAAATCTCTCAGGTGTTGTGATAAGGACTGTGTGGCTGCACACAATTCATTCTAAAAAAGAATTAAAAAAAAAAAACAAGACATGAAAAATATAGCTTGAGACAGAGAAAACTGTATTTCAAAAGGTTACAGGCAGTTAGTATTGTATCTAATTAAAAATCATACACAGCAGCTGTGTGACACCAGAGGCCTGTTCAACAGAGCGAACGTTTGCGAGTGCTCGCCAAAATTCCTTATCTTTCCAACAGAAATGTTCGTGAGCACTCACGAACGTTTGCTCTGTCGAACAGGCCTCTGTTGTATATGAACACACTTTTTTTCCACATGGGATTATAATTCACTCTATGTATGAGGAGATTTCTGCGAAAATTTGTCTAAGCATATTTAAAGTGTACATTTAAGACATACAAGGACAATCCAATAGCTAAGTTTTATAGTATCTGTATTCTCAAATGTGAAATGATGAACAAAATTTATACTGAAGTCATAGTCATGCACACTTATATAGTGACATTACATTTTTTCTTGAAATCTTTAAATTTAGGTCTGATACATGAAAAACCAATTAAACTCGATCTACTTACTTCTAATACAAAACATAGGAACAGATCTAGTATAAATTGTAGGAGGAATGAAAAAGAAATAAAAATCTTGCCTGAGCTTTCATGATTCTTTGACAGCAGTTGTGTAGACCTGTTGTGTATTTCTTGAGGGTCATAGCATCTTTCTCAAACACTGACAGCAGACTTCGGGTCTGAAACAATTAAAATTTTGCTTACATTATGAAAAAAAATGACACATATTGTAGTGCATGTATACTGCAAAGAGTGTATAACTTACCAGCTTAACATGCTTAAATCTTATTACCACATTTCTTTTTATCCTATTTACTTTCATAATCTCAAGAAAATATCATTAACCATGTTAACCAATGTTGATTTAGCCATCAGCAGGGCTCTCACACCACTTTTTGGGACTGGGGCCAGGTCTGGGGAAAATTAGCGATCCTCTTGGGAATTTGGGAATATTATTATACTTTAAAATCATTATACATTAGGTTTCTGGTATTTGTTATCAACTTCTTCTGTATGAATAAAAAGTTCAGTTATCATATCTTACTACATGTATATGTTCTTCAATCTAAGAGGAAATGACTGCTGGAAAAATTAACACATTCAATTGGGAAAAAGTACTTTTTTGGAATTGGGACTGGGGCCCCAAATATAGACAATCGAGAGCACTTTCAGTGACCTGACTGCATGCCTTTTGAACTTTACACTGACACAATTACCAAAAATACTAGTATTGAAAATGATGTGATAATCTGGCATTCTTTAGACTGGTAAGAAAGTAGCATTATAATGATACATTATTTAAATAGGTAAATCATATGCATTGCACCTATAAACAATTTATACAACTTGTAAGTACTTAATGGATATGAATACATGTATAATGATACAAGACCTATCAAAGTTTTACAAAATAATGTATTTTTAGGATTGGTAGGTCAATTTGAAAAGAATCCACATGGTAAGATCTTTCAATTAACCTTTAAGGTAATGGTACATGTGTGAGAATTTAATTGTCTTAAAAAAATGAGATATTTTATGTACTTTTCAATAAGGAATATGAAACATATGTTCATTATCATGAAAAAGTAATAATCAATTTAAAAAATCACAATCATCATTAGCTGAGCAATATTTGGCCTAATGGAACTATTATTAATCTGACAATGGTATTTAGATCTTCATGTCTGTGTGGTGGTCAGGCAGGTTTGATTGCCAGTGGCCAGATAGCTCAGTTGATAAAAGACTTATTTAGAGTTCAGGGGACCAGGATCAGAATCCTGGTCTGGTCCGATGCATTTTCTCCCTACCTGTTATATTTGGTGCCACTGACCATGCACCCCTGGATTTTCAGGTGAAAGTCCTGTCAGGGGCAAAAACAAAAATGGTTGATGGAGCATCTGTCTAGATTCAGGGGGCCCGTGTTTGAACCCTGGTCTGGTTTTAATGAGTGTGACTAAAATGGGTAGTAAAACCCGGGCCGGGCCGCTAATTTTGAAACTGAAAACCGGGTTTTCGCTAATTACTGAAAAAATGCTGAATTCTTCATCACAAAACTTACAGATGTAATTTAATACAACAAAATGTGTCTTCGCTGAGAGTTTTAAAACCAAATATTATGTTTTTCAATTATTATTAATGATTGGCATTTTCCCGGTGACTAAAATGGGTAGTAAGCCCGGTTTATTCATTTTGGCGAATTAAAGCTTATTACACGCAAAAAATGGGATTTCTTTGTGTTTTATCGTTGTTTATTAACTTTAAGAACTTAAATATTATGACAATTCAAAAATTAATGTCGATATTTAAAATAATCGCCGATTTTTGATACCCGGGACAGTCCAAAACCAGACGCGTTTGCCCGGGACAAACTGGAATATTCCGAAAAATTGCCATCAGATAACCGGGTGCTACAGCTAGATTCATATTTAGGTAATCATTTCCCTGAAATTACATGTATATGTCGGCAGAGCTAGCTTAATAGCTTGGAATATGTTAAATTAAGATCATGAAGATATACCAGTAAATTTAATAAAATCTACGCAGCTGGCTTGGTTCAGGAATATTTACTACTCTCATCATTATCTCGGAAATTTAAGTTTCATCCCGGGTAAACGGGTCCAGTATTGGTCGGTCCCGGGTATTAAAAAAAATGCATTTATTTTCTACAGTCGGTAAATATTTAAAACTGGTTATAATTTTTTGGCAGTTTATGTTCATTTCGATCTATCCAATACAAAAAACTGCAATTATTTCGATAATATTAAGTACAAAACACCAAAATATGTAAACCCGGTTTACTACCCATTTTAGTCACCGGGAAAATGACAATCGTCGATAATCATTGAAAAAGGTAATATTTGGAGTTGAAACTCTCAGCGAAGGCATATTGTGTTGTATTTAATTATATCTGTAAGTTTCATGACAAATAATTAAGTATTTTTTCAGTTATTAGCAAAAACCTGGTTTTCAGTTTCAAAATTCCCGGCCTGGCCCGCAGAAGTTGAATGTTGGTGTAAAGTGGGCAGTAAAATTTCAAGCAAAAATTCATGTCGACAGCACACACTGGTACAAGTACATGTAAACATACGAAATTAAAAGGCAAACTCCATATCCATGATAATTTGCATACACCAAGTAGAATTAGTTACATTTCAAATTGTACTTCACTGTGTAATGCAAGCAGATATAAATGAGATTCAACATGTTGGAAAGGAAAAATGTATATGAAACGGGAAGGGAGAAAATGCCCACTTTACACCAACATTCAACTTTTGCGACTTCAAGTTATGCAAATCTCAGACGCCATGACAGAAAAACCCATTAACTTCTTGCAATCAGATTAAAACAGAAGAATAATGAATTGAAATCGCAGATCGATATCTATTTGTGTCATTAGCGAACACGACCCCTGCTGTTTGCACCCTGCATATTACCCCTCCCACTTGACTTTGACATCATTTAGCGATGGTAATGATTCGTAAATTACCTGTGGACTATCTTCCAACGCATCCTCGAGATGCAATTTCTCTATAGCCATGTTTGCCAGGGAATGTCGATGTTATTTACTCAACAGCATCCAATTAACTTTGCTACTAGTATATTTTGTGTCTGCTAGTGATTAATGCATCAGGACCATTCGGCAAACCTCGGCTGATTCCGTCACCTTCATCAAACCTCGGCTGTACGAGGAAACTTGATATGCGTCTCCGCTTAACATTTGTGATAAGGCTGCCTGTTTACCGCTTAGGGAAAACGTAACGCTTTGAAAACGATAATAAATATGCATCTGATATACGATAAAAATTTTCAAAAGCATTTAGGTATCACTAAGAAGAACACTAACCATGAAAAATGCACTTCGTATCTTTACATAATCACATGTTTGTTAACGGATCGAATTCAGCACACTGTGCACGTGTATATGTAGGGCGCAGCCATATTGGGTATAAAGTAGCTCCGGTTCAATGGAGATTTACATGATACAGCCGAGGTTTGATGAGGTACGAATCGGCCGAGGTGTGCCGAGTGGCATCAGGACAGGTCCGCACTCCAGCTGCTTTTTACGTCGAGCTCTATTATTGGATAAAAATAACATCGACAAGTTTTTCCAACCATTTTATTTGTACATAAAATGAACAAAAACAAGGATATGAATTCAAGCAAGACTCTTCTGTTAAATAATTGTGTTCGTATTTTTCCTTATATCCACCGTAGGATGAAAACAGCTTCGCACTCGAATTTGGTAAAAGTAGGTTCATATGGCATGCCTCCGCTGACATGTTTTACGCACAGTAATGAGTATATACACTATACAGTATATAACTCACCATCTTGATTGATAAAAAAGATTATATCTCTATTTCATACATACTTTTTTTCACTTAAAGGTTAGATGGCATGAAGCCTGGACATGAATAACGCCAGAGGTCATTTTATTAACTTTAGGGGCGGATCCAGGAATTTTTCTGAAGCAGATATTTTTTGACACGCACAAAAACTTCTCATAAGCATGCACGGACAAGCTGCTTATCTTCATATTCTTTCATATATGAGTCTTCTTACCAACTTATAAGAGGGTTGGCATGTTTCCTATATGTAAGTGAAAATCCCAGGTGGATCTGCATGGACCCCCCCCCCCTTTTTTCTAGATCTGTGCAGTCATGAAGTTTATTTTCCTCACACCCTGATGTATTCACATGGATCGAGCCAGGAAAAGTCATGATCAAAAACGTTAACCTTTTAGCTAGGGATGGCAACGAATATTCGAACATTCGAATATTCATTCGATGAGTTGATATTCGAATATGAATTTAAGATTCGAATATTCGGTGTTTTTTTAGATTTCATAAAAAGAAGTACTGTGATTAATAAATTTTGATTAGAACAGTGCTGGAATTATCTCTGTTTAATTTACAAGCGGTCAATTTCGATCGCCTTATTTCTTTTACTACTTTCTTATCTTATAAATCTACTAAAATTACATGTATTTTGTTTTGAGTAAGGTACCGTGTTAAAGAATTGTACAATAATGCTTTATGTATAATACAAAACGTACTTTCATAGTTTTTATTAGTTAGATACGATCGGATCTAGAATCGAAGGCAACAAATGAAATCTAAGAATGTCTAAAAGGCGTGAAGAGTAACTAAACTTATCAAAAAAAAAAAAATAATAATAATAATTGAACATTGAATGAATGTCCGATATAATTAATCTGTAATTAATACTGTAAAGGGCTTAATTTCAGAACAATGTGTAAATTACTTTATTATCTCGGGTTGTACATAATCCTGAATTTTATATTCATTATTGGGAAATTAGTTAATTAAGTACGAAAATTGTCTATGGAAATATCTGTTTACATTGTGTCAAAGATTATAATCATATCTCTTATATTAGGCAGATAATTGTAATTTATTACGACACGTATTGAAATCTGAACAGTATACCGTTACGACTATCTTGCCTTTTGTAAGACGACTGGTTCCTCAGTTGGAGCTACTAAAAGTACATATTTCATTTGTTAAAATTATACTTTTCTACATTTAAATCAATTATTTATTTCAAACATTGACAAATATCAAATGGAATTTCTTATTGTACACCTACAAAAGTCTTCATACAATTTTACTTCCAATATAAGTATACCTACGCTAACCCTCTCATGAGAGTAGGATGATGCATATTTAAAATAAAACAGATTTTATTTATTTTATCGAATATATTCGAATACTTTCATTGAATATTCGAATATGAATTATTGACAAAATTGACATCCCTACTTTTAGCTCTTTGTCTCTATCAGGTAAAGAAAGTAATCTGCATGTAGACAAATAAACATGAAAAACGCCTTAAAGCTATATATGGCGTATCAAGCAAAAAGAAAAAAAAAGATGTGTTTGTGAAACACTGATGCCCCCGTATGGCAGCTTATGGCGAATGTTAAAGTTTCTCAAATGCAAGTCAAACTCCAGGTCAAGAGATGAAAAATTTTGGCACCCAAGGAAAGGTCTTGTCTCGAGGAATATACCTGTGAAATTTGAAAGCCCTAGCACCAACTGTTCAACGTAATCAATGTTATGGCGAAGATTAAAGCTTTTCAAAAGTAAGTAAAATGTCAAGGTTGAGGTCAAATGATGCCCCAAGGGAAGGTCTTGTCACAATTATAAGTGATACGCATGTTCGTGAAATGTGAAAGCCCTAGCACAAAATGTTTAAAAGTTATGGCCAAGGTTAAAGTTTTTCAAAAGTAGGTCAAACTCCAAGCTTAAGGTCAAAGGATCAAAGTTGTCAGTATCCAATGGAAGGTCTTGTCACAAGGATTACATATGTGGAGTATGAAAGCCATAGCACCAACCATTCTAAGGTTATGGCCAAGGTTAATGTTTTCCAAAGTAGGTCAAACTCCTAGGTCAAGGTCAAAGGGTCACATTTGTTGGTATCCAAAGGAACTTCTTGTCACAAGGATTACATATGTGAAGTATGAAAGCCCTAGCACCAAGCGTTCAAAAGTTATGGCCAAGGTTAAAGTTTTTCAAAAGTAGGTCAAACTCCTAGGTCAAAGTCAAACGGTCAAAGTGGTTGGTATACAAAGGAAGGTCTTGTCACAAGGAATAGACATGTTAAAAATGAAAGCCCTAGCACCAACCATTCAAAAGTTATTGCCAAGGTTAAAGTTTTTCAAAATTAGGTCAAACTCCTAGGTCAAGGTCAAAAGGTCAAATTTGTTGGTATCCAAAGAAAGGTCTTGTCTCAAGAAATAGGAATGTGAAGTATGAAAGTCCTAGCCCTAACTGTTCAAAAGTTATGGCCAAGGTTAAAGTTTTTTTCAAAAAGTAGGTCAAACTCCAAGGTCAAGGTCAAAGGGTCAAAGTTGTTGGTATATGTATATTAAGGAAGGTCTTGTCACAAGGAATACACATTTGAAGGTTGAAATACCAAGCACCAACTGTTCAAAAGTTATGGCCAAGGTTAAAATCTTATAAAATTTTGCAAAAATGGGTCAAACTCCAAGGTCAAGGTCAAAAGGTCAAATATGATGAAACCCAAAGAAAAGTCTTGTCACAAGGAATACACATGTGAAATATGACAGTCATAGCTCCAACCAATCAAAAGTTATGAGCAAGGTTAAAGTTTTTGCGGACAAACAAACAGACAGACAGACAGCTAGCTAAAGAAGACCAATATTGACTTTGAGGTCAAAAGGTCAAGGTAATAAATTAATAAATTCTTTCTGTTTTAACACTTTCGTCTCCGCTTTATACCTCGAGAATTCGAAGCCTTTGAGCTTTTGCAATGAAAGTTTATACCACAACTCCCTATGGCCTAAGGAAGATCCCTTTTGATTTCGAGGTCAAAAAGTGAAAGGTCAATGTCGTAAATTCATACATTCTGTCTCAGTCGAAACTTCTCGGGCCTTTCCGACAAGCAGAAAAACTCCGACCTCCGACGGAAAGACCCGAGGTGATGCGATCGATTCTGTCTGTGTGTAACACCGAATATAAGTTGGATTAAAGTCATTTTCTCTAAAATAGTTTCAATAATGAGCCTTACAAAGACTATACGTTGATACATGCCTTGTCAGCAAGAACATTTTTAATTACCGATCATGTATACGTAATCTATCTCATTCTTTTCTCAGTTCTGAATAAGTTAAGGTATAAGGATATTTAATAATCTTATAAATCATCCGATTTGTCTAGATCTATAAATTGCTACATGTATTTAATAGGGTTTTCCTAATCATATAGATGACACCACCTAATCAAACTGCAGATATGACTTATTTAGTGAGAATCTTACCAAATGTAGCTTGACTAATATTATCGACAACTAAAACACCTTCATATTGTATTGTGTAGCCATTTGAAAATTGTAGAATCGAGAAAAAAAAGAATTAAAAAAAATAAGACATGGAGACGTTACAGAGAAGTTGGATAGAAATTACGTGCTCAAAGTCAGGAATTTGGAAATTAAAGTTTTTGATGAAGAAATTGCAGTTATGCAGTTCCAGCTAACACAAATTATAACATAACTAAACTTTTTTTAAAATTCCATGGTAGAATAGAAATATATGTTCGAGACAACGCTTCTCTTATATGCCCGAAAAGATAATTGTTAAAATGCTTGAAAATAATTCTATAATTTTGGAAAGAGCTAAAACAAATCTCAATTTATAATCTAATTACTGTTACTCTATAGCAGGTGGACGTTCTATGAACAAGTGATATTTTTGTTCCTAACATGTTTTAATAACCATAAGAAAAAGTGAATTGTGATGCTTTGTGTAAGATTTAAAAAAAAACAAAGAAAAACAAGATGTGTTTGTGAAACACTGATGCCCCCGTATGGTAGCTTATGGCGAAGGTTAAAATTTCTCAAGTGTAAGTCAAACTCTAAGGTCAAGAGATAAAAAGAATGTTGTTCCAAAAGAAAGGATTTGTGACAACGGATATACCTGGTAAATATGACAGCCCAAGCACCAACCATTCAAAAGTTATGGTCAAGGCTAATGTTTTCTAAAAGTGGGTCAAACTCCAAGGTCAAAGGGTCAAATTAATGGTTCGCAAGGGAAAACCTTGTCATAAGAAATACACATGCAAAATATAAAAGCCCTAGCATGAACTGTTTAAAAGT